TAGTGTATTATGTACTGTTATTGTATACTTCAAGTTTGGATTGAGTGTAACATTGATAATGACAATGTTATGTGTCACTTTAAAGATGTTTGCACCTTGTTTTGTCCCTCGGACAATGACATTTTACAGCGTTCAACACAATTCCAAACAGCACAGACAGATATCTGTCAGTCATCCATCAGTCATAGTCGAGAGTAAATGCTTCTTTCACCATCGTTATCTTTAAAGATAAAGATAAATCAGGAACAGTTGCTATTTGAATCCCTTTCCATTCCCTCTGCCCCTATTATGCGTGTCTTCACTGGAATGCCATAAAAGACAAGTTGCATGAGACCTAAGATGCCATCCTTTGGTAAAAGGAAAATGCTATTTGATAGTTCAGCACAAATTAAAGAAAATATCCTTGTAAGAGTCTACAGCCAGCGGCACTTTGGGTTTAATGCTAGCATCAGTATGCGTAGCGGTGCACAGAATGATGTCACACAGGCTCAATCTGGTGCTACACATTTAATGAAAATGTTCTGCAAAATACAAAAATATGCATTTAGGTATACAGTCGTTCCACAGCGTTTTCTGCTTCTGTCCTGTACACAGGGATTCTCATCCTCTCATGAGACTTCCCTGTTGCTCTCATCACAGACGCTGCTCATGTCGCAACACTGACACCTACTGGCGATCCACTGGATCTACTGCCTAAAAATGTAGCTGGTGATAAATAACGCTGTACCCTAAATTTTTAACTACAATGAACACTTCCTCCTCTTAATTAAACACATAGGAAATATAACAAACTCTCTTAACTTACATTACACCCAAGAAATGATTGTACTTCCTGAACTACACATGACTTATTGAGCCACATATGCATTCTCCCAATGACAATGCTAACATGCATTGAGTTTAGCGTGTAAGCATGCTAAACATCATTGCTAATTAGTAATACAGCTGAGGCTGATGAAAATTAAACCAGGCCCACACCAAAGTATTTGAAAAATGCAAATGGCTGATGAATGAAATTGGTTGATAACCTAATGTTGGAGCTAGATAAAAAATGTAAGGGATCACCTACTGTAAGTTATTGCAATTCATACTTAAGGGGACATGAATATGCATCTAGTAGATATTGGGATACTGTGTTGCAGTCAGCATCAAGGGGGTAGACCAACTTACTGACCAACATTGCCATCCATTGTACCAAGCTGCTGGCATGGCTAAAAATACAAATGAAGTAGAAGTGTATCTTACTTTTAAAATCAGATGTGGCATATTACTTTTCTATAGTTGCTCTGTGAGTCACTGTAAAATCACACCAGTTTATAAGAGGAATCACTAAAGGGAACAGCTGATGAAGCAGTATTTTTCAGTCAGCCCCAATCAGAATGCTGTACTGGTTAATATACAGTGGAATAGCAGTGACCAATACCAATGACCACTGTAAATACACGGTTCAGTACCGTCTGTCACTAGAGAATAGTAACAACAAGGTGGTAGGTAACCCAATTAGGTGTGTGTGCTATTTGCTTGGTTATTTATAACTTATAATACTATATACTTATAACTTTGGCATTGAAGTGTGGGTGTGTTGTTGTTGGTGAATTTGTGACTTGTGTAATTAGACATTTCTTTTGACAATGGTCCTGTTCTCATTTCTATTGATTGTAGCTTTGTTCTGTGAATGTATTGTTACTACTTTGACAATTACTAACAATTAACTTGACATACTTACGTCGTATCACGTCATATGACGTTGTTTTAAAAATATCTTTTGATTACAGGAAGTATATTACCAAATGCCCAGGAACTACAGGTCAAAAGCAACCTTTTGACTGATCATGCCAGAGAAACAACTGGGCCATTCTACAGAATTGATCCAATTCAGTCAGAGACGAAAACATTTTGAAATAAACATGTCATTTTCCCCAAACTTTGTAGGTTTGTAAATTGTATAATATCCAAGGAATGAATGTTTCTCTTATAGCTTGCAGACTTGTATTTTTCCTTTATTTGGTGCATGTGTGTTGTAAAAAAAGAAGTGTCTTTCTGACATGGACCTTTCCCCAACGGACCCGGTAGTGGGTCCATCCCTGTAGTTACATTAAGTCTCATTTTGCATGATAGTATTTTATCAAAGCCTATGTTACTTTAGCTAAAATTTGCAGATTTAGTTATTTCAATGATTAACATCCAGAGAGTCACAGTGATCCGCTTGGAGAGACAGACAGGCTCGGCCTGAAATTCTGCTCAAAGCGGCCTCCTAGTAGAACGTCTTCCACTATGTAGTGCAGCGTAGTAGAAGACGTTCAGTTGCATCAATATTCATAGATCTTGGTTATAATGGTGATATTGCCTTTGAAATTAAGATGATACACGAGGAAACGATAAAATATATATTTTTTTCCTTTGTTGCATCTCCATTTACTCTCACTTCTCACCTTTCAAAAGAGATCAGACATATGCATATAATCCTTATGGTCTAGGAGCATTCCTGATTCTTTTTTTCCATGATATATATACAGTATATATATTTTTTCTCAAATATTATTTTGGGTTTCATTAGATATTATAATAGTAAACATCTAAGATTTGCATACTTAAATCAATGCTATTTAAATTAGTTGTTTGGTTGTGGGACAGCAGTTTGCTTCTCAGTAGAAGTATGTTGTCATAGTTCTTTTTTTTTAAATTACGTATTTTTTTGTTTTCCCCTGAAATGTTCAATGGAGCTAAATAAAGCTTTGCGAGATTAAAATGAACCAGATATTATGATGAAAAAGAAGTTAAACCGTTGTTTGCCACCGTCCTTTGGTTGTTGTGCCCTGAATTAATCTCTGGTGCACATTTATAATTATGGTCTCTCAGTCCCTCTATTAGACAGAAATAACCTTAACAGACGTCAGACTTGATCATGATGTAAAGTGCCTGGCATGAGGTGACTGTTCCGCTATCCCACATTCCATCACTGTCCAATAAGCACATTGGAACATTGCCGTAATTATCCCCACCCTAGTTAATTGCCAAACCCTTTCAGCTCTCTACCTTAAAAGAGAGTAGCCTGTCATCTGCCAGTCATCCATCACAGTAGAGAGACAGTATATGTTTCGTTCAATCATATTTGTAAGTATCTCTTTTATTCTGATTTTAACAAACCACATTTTCATTAATTTCTTTGCTGTTGCCATGTCTACTTCTATACTTGCTCAATCTCTCAAACTAGCTGAACTAATCACATTTTAGGGAGAAGGTTTTAATCAGCAGACACTGTGCACTTTTTCTTTTTTAATTTAGTTGGATATAATGTTATCACTAATGTCCTATACACTTAATACCTATACTTTTGACATTCAATAGCTGTATGTTGCCGTTGTGTTGTATTTAAAGTTTTGGTTGTGTGTTGTATTACCTGTTAAACAAGGTGAACATGTCATGGCTCCAGGAAAACAAGGAATATATCTGAAGCAGGTGCTTTGGTTTGACTCTGTGATAGGACAGTTGTGTTTTCCATTCACACTCCTTTCAAATCAGCATTGCTAAAGTAGATATTAAAATATGCTGAACAATAACCTTCTATCCAACATTTTTTTCACAAGACGTATCATCTGCCCAAACTTGTGGTATTGGGAAGGATCACAACTTGAGTGCTTATCTGGATTAATACTCTTGGAGAATATCTCTTATTTGTTTTGGTTGTGTGCTGACAACATCAATGGCTGTTGGCTATAACTTAAATGCAAAAACGCAGCTGTGTGCGGCATCCAAATAACCGTTCCAATACTTTTAAGTAAACCCACAAACTGCCTGCAGCTCAGTGTGTGGTGGCACTTATGGACACCCCACAAAATACAAAACTGACCTATCTATCTAAAGACGATGCTAATCGTCAGCTGTCACAAGGGACGAAGGGAAACTTAATATTGAGGTAACAATATCCAGTTCCAACATGCTACAGTCTCAAAACTTTAAAGTTAATATTAAAATAATACATTGTCTACTGACAGCTGACAATGTGAGATGACTTTATGATGGAAAAAAAAGTTAAACCATTGTTTGCCACCGTCCTTTGGTTGTTCTTTAACTAAATACTTAGCTAAATCTATCAAAATGAAGAGCTTTTGAGTGCCCTGAATTAATCTCTGGTGCACATTTATAATGATGATCTAGATCATTGCAGTAATTATCCCCACCCTATAATTAACTGCCACACCCTGTCAACTGACGACCTTATAGAATGCAGCAACACATCCTTCAGTTTTCAGTCACAGTAGAGAGACAGTATATGTTTTGTTCACCATTATAAGTATCTCTTTAACTCTTTAACATATTTAATGTTCGATGAAACTAAATGCTATGTTGTGTGGTTCTGTTGAAGTGTCATTTCTGATTTATGCTACAGGTGTCAAAATGTACACAATATGACAGTGACGAGTGTCTTTAAACTGCTAAGACACCTGTTTTTAAACTGGTGTGTGTCCCTGATTTACCCTGATGTTTATTTTGGAAATTAAAGTAAGATTATAAATGAAAGTAACTTATTTCAGAGGTGAATTCCAAGCTTGCCCTGTGACACAATTGTACATGGTTTGTAACAACCTCCCTCATGTTGGATAAACATCTGAAAACAACATTATTGTTATCATGATTATCACATAATCATGACAGACATCAATGAGACTGATTAACAGTTTGAATGCAATTATAATGAAGAAAGAACTTGAGTTTAAAAACAGAAATGGTTTGGGTACTGATCTATAATTAATTTAAGACTTGATATGCAATAGGCAACAGTTTAAAGGTGCTAAATTCCAAATTCAGAGCATATAATTGAGGGATTCCACATGGCTCTCAACATGGTGGCTGAGCCGGCAGCTAGGAGCTAACGGTGCTAACAGCATAAATGCAGACAAAGGCAACAGAATGTTTTATATCTATGGAGACACACATACTGGGACTCTGCATACTAAACATTTTTGTTTATTTCTTCTGCTTATCTACATAGTGACAACATGTGCAAGCTCACTCTAATTACAGGTAAGATATGCTTGTCAAGTTATTGTTTCCATAAATGTTTACTACCTCCAAATAACAAAAGCACATTTTCTCACTTACCTCCATTGGTATCTAGCTATGCAGAGTTTTTGTTTACTTTACCCATGTTTCTGTCCCTCAGACTACAGTGAGAATTAATGGAATTTGGTTTGTGTTGCCACTGAAAAATTGCATTTCGAAAATTCACTGGCAAGTCTTTTCATAAACAGTGTCCCTATTACTCTGGATAATCCACTCAACACACAGTGTTGATTATCCATAATACACATTGCTGTTGAATTATTAAAATGAAATTCCCTTCACCTTCAATGTATTATGGTGGATGAAGAAATCTAATTGAGTAATATCTCATTAACCCAGACAATAAAACCAAACCTAACTGTACTGCTAGAGAAGAGTAGAAGTTTGTGAGAAAAGCTGTGGATTATATTTTGTCATTTGGGTGAACTGACCTGTTGAGCTTGATTTTGAACCCACTTTGAAGGTCTCTGTTTGATCATCTCCAGCTTTGGTAAGTATATAACATGCATTAATCATAATAAACAGTCTTATTAGTAGATAAATAATGACTAATTAAAACCATCATTATTTTCTTCCATGTCTCAGGCTCCTCCTCCAGGCTGGTGTGTTACTATAACAGCGAGGCTGGAAATAGAGAGGGGGATGGGAAGTTCTCGATTTCAGAAATCGATCCAAACAAGTGTACACATCTGATATATGCCTTTTCTGACATCAACAACCAAAATGAGCTGGTGCACAGCAATGCAGCTGACTTACAACACTATCAGGCATTCAATGAACTCAAAACCAGGTCAGTGCTTTAGCCTATACACTTTGTGGAAATGATGTTGATTTTGTGTCTTGTCAAACAATCATTACGAAACCTTTATGCTCTCACAGCAATACACAGCTCAAAACCCTGCTGGCGGTTGGAGGCTTGACCTTCAACACACAGAAGTAAGTTACTTACCTGAACATGTCGGCCCTTTTTGTGTCCGTGCAAAGACAAACGTAAGCAGCACTTCAACATGCTGGTATTTTGCTGAACAAAAAACATGCTTTGCCCAATGATGCTGTGATTTTGTGCTTTGCACAGCATGCATGGTGCATTGTTTCATACAAATGAGGTGGCACGAGGACAGATGCTGATATTTGATTACCTACATAAGTTAATTTCATGATTCAATCAGCACATGCAAAATAGCCTATGGGATGAAAATATTAAAAATCTACATAATAATGTAAGTACACTAAAACAGTTCAACAAGCAGAAATATTTATACCTGATATTTTCATTACATCATGTGAAACCAAAATCAGGTTGCTGGAAAAGAATCACACAGATAGGTGCACATACAAGTTGTATTCAAGTATTCTTGGTATCTGCAAACACCAAATGGATTTGTGTTTGTATTAAAATAATTAATCTAAATTATTTTCATTTAATTTGATTATGTGACATTGTCACCCTAAAAAGAAATTTAATAAAGTTGTATGTTGAAAATGATTGGGTGTTTGCATTAATGCAAACTGAATGCAACCAGATGAACGCCTTAAAAGGACAGTTGTAGTTGTTTGACCAAGTTTAAACCAAAACGTTTAGTCATTATTAAACCCCAGAAAGTGTACATGCAATCAGAATATTAGAATTTTTGCAACACAAACAGATACATAAATCAATTACAGACCGGTGCCATTAAACAATCAAAAAAAACAAAGTAAACCACCCCAATTGTGCCAAAAAAAACATGAACAAATCAATTGCAATGTCTTTCAGGAGATCATGACTCGCTTACTCAAGATAATTCTGAGCAGTTTCATGTAGGAACTGCTGTTTATTTTTTTCAAATACATTTCTTATCTAGATTGCTAAATAGCACTACAGGTATGATAAAAAAATGTTTACATGCGTTTTTATTTTACCCCTACTTAGTTACTGCACATTATAGTTATGTAGATCATAGTGTGGTTTATTTTCATCACTTTTCCTCATAAATTACAAAAGCGTGTTGACTAGTTCGTGCCTATGGCTGTACATCTGTCTTGCCAGATATTACTTTGTGCTTTTTGTTGCTCTTCCGTGTTATTAAAACAGAACATTTAAATGCAGTATGTGTTGTGTTTTCTTGAGAGCACTGTTTGGTTTAAATGTCGACCAGATTCAGTACAATGGTAGCAGAACAACAGAACAGAGAAAGGTTCATCCAGTCTGCGATCAAACTACTGAGAGCAAATGGATTTGATGGGCTAAACCTGGACTGGAGGTACCCTGGGGGACCTGGAAGCCAACCAATGGACAAGCGGAGATTCACACTGCTGTGCAAGGTCAGATCCTGAATTTATCTTCTGTGAGAAATATGCATACTGAATAAACCTTTATGAAAACATAACATTATGTTTAACAGAGACTGAACCATGTTTCTGTGTTGTATAGGAGCTCAAAGAGGCCTTTGTGGCTGAAGCAACAGCACCTAACCGTGACAGATTAATCGTCACTGCTAGTGTCTCTGCTGTGAAAGAAATCATCGATGACAGTTATGAAGTCGCACAGATTGCCACGTAAACTAATTTAAAGTAATACTTGACAATGTACCCATGATTAGCTGTTTTCATGTTTTCGTTAACATGATCTCCTCTGCATTTTAACAGGCATCTGGATTTCATTAATGTGTTGACATTTGACTTTCACGGCCCCTGGGAAAGTGTCACAGGGCATCACAGCCCCTTATACAACGGATCCCAAGACACTGGAGATGAAATCTACTTGAACACTGTAAGTACAGGGATTCATATTTCAACTGCTTAAACACCTTCCTACATAGATATGTCCTTTCATCTTAATTGTTTCGTTTTCTCCACATTGTAGGACTATGCTATGCGGTACTGGCGGGACCAGGGAGCACCTGCACACAAGCTAAACTTGGGGTTAGCGGCATATGGGCGTGCTTTTGACCTCTCCACTGCATCCAGTGATGTTGGTGCACCAGCCAATGGTCCTGGTGAAGAAGGCTGCTACACCGGTGAAGAAGGATTCTGGGCCTCTTATGAGGTAAAACAGCAAGCTGTGAATTAATTAATTAATATGAATTGCTTTATTATAAGCTAACCGATTTTACTCTATTTGGTGTGACAAATATCTGTTTGAATGAATACATTGGATCTAAATATGATATTTGACCATTCTTTTCAGACTTGCCTTTATATTGAAGGGAATACTACCCAGCTGATTGTTGATCAGGAAGTTCCATATGCTGTCACAGAAAATCAGTGGGTTGGGTTTGACAACAAAGCCAGTCTTAATACTAAGGTAGTCATCTGTTCAGTTCACACTGTTGTTCTATAATTCCTTTGCAAATGACTGGTTGTACACAATCTGGTGAAATAAATATGTTGTCAACATGACGTCAGCTGTTGAAAGGTGTTGTTCCTCATCCTCTCAGGTCAATTACCTAAAAACTAACCACTTTGGGGGAGCCTTTGTCTGGTCTCTGGACCTGGACGACACTACTGGACAGTTCTGTAAAATGGGCAAATGCCCTTTCATCAGCCACCTGCATGATATCCTGGTTCCAGGTAACCAAAATGCAAAACATTTACATCGTATCGTGTCCTGGCAGAGACTTGACATTAAGCTTTTTCAGCCACTTGCCTCAAGGTATTTTACTTGCCGGATATCTGAACTTACTTGTCCGAAATACAAAATATAGGCAGTTTCTGGCCAATGACTACAGTTTACAAGATTACATTTGAACATATGATAATTAATTAATAATTTACCCTCACTTAATACAAATTTTTACTGTTTCGAGCTTGAATGCACAATAATATATTATTAAATGAATCCTTCATACATTCGCTGTTCACTCCTTTACAAGCAGAACTGCGCTACGGAGAGACCCCGAGCTGTCGGCAGAAAAGCCGTTTACAGTGATTAGTTTGAGCACCAGCACGGGAATGAATTACAACAGAATAGGCCTATGTGTCTGAATAAGTTAATATTTCATAATGTTGCTATGCTGTTAGCTCCGTTATTTAGCCAGGCTGGACTGTGATGCCAACCAGCTGCTCAAAGCTGGCAAGAGGAGAGCTCCGTTAACGTTAAATAACTTGGCCAATTTCAATGAATTTGTTGTTCACAATGAAGCATTTTCAGACATCGACGAATAGACAGCATTAATGGCGATCTCCCGATCACAGATTTTTTACTGTATATTGGCCCCTCATAAAGATCACATTTATTTTTCACATGACCGATAGGACAACTGCATGACGCATTCCAATGGCCTGAACACAGAGTTTACTTGCCCAGTGCAAGCGGTCAACTCTTAATGTTGAGCCTAGCATGGAGTTTTTAGTGTGTATTTGACTGAATCCCATCAGCATTCAGTAATTACATGACATATACTATTTCTATGAAGAAAGTAAATGTGTGCTCTTTCTATTAAGAGATATTTGCAGCCATGCTCAGGTATATACAAATATTATGTGATTAACAGAGTTTAAAAAGCATTAAAAAAGGTATCTGACTCTCACTCTTTTAGGTTTTCCTAGCCTCAGCACTACAACTCCCATCACCACAGCAACTACCACTTCAACTCTCCTTCCCAAAACAATGCCAACAACCACATCAACTCCCTCTACAATGACCACAACAACTCCACCTACCACAACTACAATAATGCCGACTACCACAACTCCTCCTACAACAACCACAACAACTCCCCCTACCGCAACTACAACAATGCCGACTACCACAACTCCCCCTACCACAACTACAACTCTCTCTACCACAACAATGCCAACTACCACATCAGCTCCCTCTACAACGACCACCACAACTCTCCCTACTACAACTACAACAATACCGACTACCACAACTCCCCCTACCACAACTACAACAATGCCGACTACCACAACTCCCCTTACAACGACCACAACTCCACCTACCAAAACTACAACAACTCCCCCTACCACAACTACAACAATGCCGACTACCACAACTCCCCCTTCCACAACTACAACTCTCTCTACCACAACAATGCCAACTACCACATCAAATCCCTCTACAACGACCACAACAACTCTCCCTACTACAACTACAACAATGCCGACTACCACAACTCCCCCTACCACAACTACAACTCTCTCTACCACAACCTTTCATCAGCCACCTGCATGATATCCTGGTTCCAGGTAACCAAAATGCAAAACATTTCCATCGTATCCTGTAATGCAGAGACTTGACATTAAGCTTTTTCAGCCACTTGCCCCAAAGTATTTTGCTGGCCAGATAACCAAACTTACTTGTCTGCAATACAAAATATAGATGGATAAAAAATAAAGATTGAAACAATTGGGCAAAAAAAATCCCATAACTTTGTTAATGGGGGGGGCGGGGGGGGGGATTAATAGATGTAATCATGTATTATAAGCTGCTTTGAGCTACAGTGTTATGAAGTTAAAGAGTCAAAATTCCATCTCTAATATGTATTTCATATTGCTGTGGAAACATCTGTATAAATTCAAGTTTCTGGCCAATAACTACAGTTTACAAGATTACATTTGAACGTATGATAATTCATTAATAATTTACCCTCGCTCAATACTTATTTTTACTGTAAATAAAAAGAAAAAGCTGTTTACCGTGTTTAATCTGGGCACCAGCACGGGAATGAATTACAATAGAATAGGCCTATGTGTCTGGATAAGTTAGTAGTTCATAATGTTGCTATGCTGTTAGCTCCGTTATTTAGCCAGGCTAGACTGTGCTGCCAACCAGCTGCTCAAAGCTGGCAAGAGGAGAGCTCCGTTAACGTTAAATAACGTTGCCGATTTCAATGGATTTGTTGTTCACAATGAAGAATTTTCAGAGATCGGCGAATAGAAAGCATTAATGGCAATCTCCCGATCGCAGATTTTTACTGTATATCGGCCCCTCATAAAGATCACATTTGTTTTTCACATGCCCGATAGGACAACTGCATGACACATTCCAATGGCCTGAACACAGAGTCTTAAACTCTTAATGTTCAGCCTAGCATGGAGTGGCAGTTTTTAGTGTGTATTTGATTGAATGCCATCAACATTCAGTAATTACATTACATATACTACATTTTATAATGAAGAAAGCAAATGTGTGCTCTTTCTATTAAGAGATTTTAACAGCCATGCTCAGGCACATACAAATATTATGTGATTAACAAACAGAGTTTAAAAAGCATCAACACATTATCTGACTGTCATTCTTTTAGGTTTTCCTAGCCTCAGCACTACAACTCTCCCTTCCACAACTACAACAATGCCGACTACCACAACAACTCCCCCTACCACAACCACAACAACTCCCCCTACCACAACCACAACAACTCCCCCTACCACAACTACAACAATGCCGACTACCACAACAACTCCCCCTACAACTCCCCCTACCACAACCACAACAACTCCCCCTACAACGACCACAACAACTCCCCCTTCCACAACCACAACAATGCCGACTACCACAACAACTCCCTCTTCCACTGGAACCCCTTGTAATGGAAGGAGCAGTGGGCTCTTCGCCTTTCCCGGTGACCCAACAAAATATTACCAATGTGATTCTCTATCAAGAGTTCACATCAGAGATTGTGGACTTGATACAGTCTTTCGTCAAGCCTCCATGATCTGTGTTCATTCCAGTCCGTAAGTAGTAATATTTGTCCTCATTAAAAAATGGGGGGGGGGGGGATTGTCAAAAGCTGTTACATTTACTTTTGAGATAAATAAAAGAAATGCTTTAAAATATATCAATACAACTTACAGTGTATTTACAATTGTTGTCTCTTAATTGAAGGTGTATTTAAATCAGTCTGGTGTGTATGTTCTTGTTTTTCCACTGCCATAATTACTTAATTCCTTATTTATATGGCCGTTACAAATACTTAAGTATGTGGTTGTTGCATATCTATTTTATTATGTGTATCTAACACTATTGTGTGGGTTTGTTCTTGTTGGTTTAATTTAGCTACTGGGAGATTTGTCCTCCATAATGACACAGATGTTGCATATATTTACACAGTGGACATGTGGATAAATAAAAATACATGTTAGTAAATGTATAAGTTAATACTGTTGAATTTATAAAATACTGTAAGTTTCATAAACAATTTCTTGCACTAATGTTCTGTCAATCATTTTGTAATGAACAATGTGTTGAATTGCTCACATTTTTCAGTTGACAGCATCTCTGATTGGGTTTGAGATGTTGGATTGATAAGTCGATCGATAGTAGAAAAGAGCACTTTCTCATCGTTGCTATTCTTGTTAATAAATTCAGAGAGAAAAAGACTGTCTGGCCTTTATAATTTCTTTGTTGTTGTCATTCAGTCTATCCTTGTAGATAACGTGTTGAACTTGAAATTTGGTCTTTCTCCACTGTTGATCTGCCTGCTCACACTTTCTCTTGAACTGCCTGACAACCACTTCATTTCCCCAAGGGGCTTTTTGTTTTTCTATTTTTAGTTTCAATGGGTGTAATGCTGTCAGTGATATTTCGAGGTATTTGTACTTTACTTCAGTATTTCCATTTTATGTAAATTTATACTTCTAGTTCCCTAAATCTCAGGAGGGAAATATTGTACTTTTAACTTCACTACATTTATTTGAGAATATGAGTTACAAGTTAGGCTACTTTGCAAATTCAGATTTTTAAATACAAAATATAAATCAACTAATTCATTATGACGTATTATTGAGTAGTATATAACCTATTAAGCATATAAAGTAGTTCAAATTAGATCCACCTTTACCTGCTGCAACATTAAAGTGATGAACACACTTATGCATCAATATTTACAATCCAATAATATAAACCTGATGCTAGATCATAAACTATATATAAGAAATGGACGTAGTCACCGTGATGTTACCCATTGTTCATGGACTTCCCTTTTTATTCGTTTCACCTTTACCTGCTGCAACATTAAAGGGATGAACACACTTATCCCTTGAGTTTGGCATTTTGGACATCGCCATCTTGGCTTGGAGAGGGTGTAGCTACGTACAACCCTACACTGAATAAGACATTTTTAGGCGACCAAAAAGGTTACGATTCACTTATGTGAAAACACTGTGAAAGGGTTAAAGCTGTAAGACAAAACCTAAGACCAGACAACACTGTGGTAGCCACCTCCTAATCACACAGTAGCCACGCCCTAAAATATACCCTACTTTATTGTCTAATTTACTCTAAATAAGACAGTCATTCACTAAATTAACATCATGCTGTATAGAAAAAGAAACTAGTGATGAAGACCATAAACCAAGGGTATTCAATTAAAATTCAGCGAGGTCCAGTTAGAGAATTTCCTTCACAATAATGTCTCATTTGCGCTATGATTTCTTGCCATATATATATTGATGTAGCCAACAGTTGTATTAACGTCTGTATGTAGTCAACAACTCACTGTCAAATCAAATAAATAAAGTTCAATTGAATAATATCCAAACAATATTTAAAATCTAAAAATGTATTTAACTGAACTGTCCATGCCCTGCAGCTTTATATTCATTTGATTCAGGTGTGATGTCAAACAAAAAAGCCAAGATATCCATATTATCTTCTAAAAAGAGAACATTTTGTGCAGGGACTACACCTTTGGTTTTGGAAACCACTTGTTTCAGCTATATTCCCCTCTGTTTACAGCATTGTTGGACAGTTAAAAATGTTATGTTAGGATTCTGATCATATTGGGCTCTCGGGTTTATTTTTCTGTGCCTTCATTTGGGGTCTGAATGGGTACGTTTACTTAAAGGAGTTGTGCTTTGTCTCGTAGTGGCGCTTCACATTGGCGCATATAATAATTGCCACAGTCTCTGAACTTATGAGACTGGTTCTGAACTGCCCGTGCCAACATATAGGAGTCTGTGCATTCTTGGTTCAAGGCTCTGGTCTCGCTGTCCACATTTCTGTTTTTGGAGAACGCCATGTGAAATAACTTCTCTGACTCACGTACATCTTTGACTATTGGCTCACTCGCCCCGTCGCCCCCCCACAAGTCTGGATCGTAAACTAGCTTTTTTTTCTTTTTTCATACATTTTGGGGAAATTGTGCTTTTGTAAGTGTATTGTGTAATATGTCAAGAATTTAATAAAATATCACATGACAACGAGCATATAATCAAATGTTATTTGTTGTAATTTTAAACAATGCCTGTCTCAAAATTGTGTGCAAATACAACTTGCCTTTACAAATCCCAATTAATTTTAAAGATTCAGTCAGTGAGAGTACAGAATTCTTTAAAAACCTCTGTACTTGATCACCAGGAGGAAATAAACATTAGCATTTAGAATTTCTACAGAAAGAAACATCTTTTTATATTTTCTGTTATTAGCAGCCAAAATGTATTTATGCAGTCATTTCATTCATGTTATATGTAGCATCATAACTTCAAGTATATCAATATTATTAGCAGACCATCAAAAAAATGTATCAGTTATTTTCATAAAATTAGACCATCATGATTTAAAATTGTAAAAATCATTACAACACTATCGCAAAACCGTTATCGCAAATGCAGAAGAGCTCTACATAGTGATTTCATGATCATTTTTATCAGAACAAGGTCAATACTGTATGTCATCAAACAACTTTAAAAAGAGTTTTTAAAAGGTAAAGCTATGGAAAAGTGTACTGTCTCGCTGTAAAATGCAGAATGACATTTTATTTTAAATGTAGTGACCAATACATTAAGTCAAGGTCCCGTTGGGTGCTGTTGAAATTAATCAGATTACTAACAAAGACTTTTGGATTACACTTTTACCCAAACTGTCTATTCCTTAGAGTTCATGGATAGAGCTGTGCGGCTCAGGAAGCTTCTGAATGTCACCGTTTTGAATCAGACTGAAGTAAAATACTACAAGCTCCTCGTAGTTCTTTTTGGAAATCCGTTCATTGATGCCATGGAATCTAAGAAAAAGAAAAGAACAACTTATGGTATCTAAAGAGGAGAAAATACGTTTTATGTTTACAATTCCCTTGTGCTGGTCTTGCAGGATGATAGCTTTTTAATCCCCAAAGCTGAGCGGCAAACTGGGCTTAAGGTTGGTTCCATACATACAGTAAAACACGGAATAATATTATAGTTGTTCAACCAGGACTTTAAGTCTTAACAGTACAAGTAGGTCACATCATTGCATCACAAGTTTGTAACATAAAAGTGTTACCATCAGCAGAAAGCTCTTTTGCCAGATATTACTCTGGTCAAGGAGTTTATTATACTTACTGCAGCAGGTTTTGTTCAGACCATTTTTATGCAGTATTAGACAAACTAAACCCTTACCTTTGAGCATCACCTGGTTTAAACCAGACAGGGGTGAAGCGATAGATATCATTCGTCAGGTCTTTAAAGTGTCGACTGTCTGTGTTTCCAATACAGATACCTGAACATACAAACACGATGTCAAAACATTTCATATTTTGACCTTACCAACCACATTTTTATAAAATTATGTCCGTCTGGATTCTACCTGGAGCAACTGTAACTGTTGGAAACATGTCCAACACGGTTTTCTTAATGATCTGGTATCCAAAGGACTTCTCATCCATAGAGCTCACAGGCAAGGGGTCAAATCCTTCAACAAGCTCTATCTTCACTCGTTGGTCCCCCACTGTGGACTGGATTAGGTCCAGGACCTAGATGTGACAGCAAAAACTCAACTCAGAATATTCATGAAGAGACATAAGGAATTCTCAAAAAGGAGAATCAAACTTCTGACTACCTCTTGTAGGGACTGTGCTGAGTGGATTCGTAGATTTACATAAGCTTCAGCGAGGGACGGGATGATATTCACCTATATGGTGGGAAAGAATTTAGGTTTGATTAAGGAAAACTAAAAAGGCTTGCAATCTAATTCACAATCAATTCCTGTGAATCATCCTTTATTTCAGAATGAATAACTGTACCTTAACTCCTGCATTAAACATGGTGACTGCTGTAGTTGTCCTTACAAAAGCATTAGTTTCTGGTTTTCTTTCAAGTACCCTGTAACGTAAAACATGCTAAATGGTTTAGTCCAATGCACACAATCGGAAGAAAACGTGAGAAATCAATTTTAGGATGTAATTACCTGCCTAGGAGTGGGGCAAACAGCCACAGATTTGTCATTATGAACTTCATTGGGAGTCCGAACTGCAAACAAAGAATGAGTAAGTGCGTAACAACAGAAAGGATCTAATATGCTATTAAAAGTGATGACAACGACTATCAAGTAGCTGCCTCCTCTTACCTTGTGCGCCAGATGCTCAAATGTTCCATGTTCAGGCCCATGACCAAATAATCTTGGCATCGGGTTCTCCTCTAGTCTGAGGCAATAGCACGACACAATTACAATATTAGACTTTGTTTGAAGAGGACTAAAAAATGTAGAATGTGGTTAAACATATTGTTCTGCAGAAACGCAAAGACTAACAAGAATTCATAGAAATGAAAACAGTTTTAAAAAAATCTCAATTTGAAGAGGATGAACCTCTCACCTTTTGACTGCTGCAGCCAAGATCCCAATGCTGGTCTCCCTGAGAGGCATTGAGGAGTGACCAGGGACCATAAATACACTAAGCTTTACAGTCGCCGAACCCTTTTCACTTATCCCAATTCTACAAAACAAGTACAACACAAAACACACAGAATTTACGCACAGAAATTACTGTTAAAAAACTAAAAAAAATGTAATGGAGACATGCAATTTTATGCTGTGCTTGTGAGTTTGTTGTAACGTCAGGCTCGGTCCACTTGTTTTCTTTTAACATGTAAAGTCTGCAGACTAAATATCATGTTTCCACAAGAGAATAAAAGGGTTCTCACAGTGCAGCAGGTCCTTCAAGACCACCGATGACTCCATCAAGTACAGCCAGGCCCTCGTCCAGGACAAACGACAGCTGCACACCACGCAGCTTCAGCTCACGCACTATGTTCATTGCCCCCTTGTAACCACCGACCTTCAAAGAAAGAAAGAAGATAAGGACACAGACATTGATAATAGTTTAAATATTATCTAAGTTCACAATTCCAAAGAGTGAGAGTTTGAAGAATATCTTAAGTACTTCTTCATCATGACCTAGACCGATGTAAAATCCTCTGCATGGAGCATAGCCTTTCATCAGTAAGTACTCCAGTGCCTGAAGAATTCCCTGGAAAAAATAAAGAAGTTTGGATTAGTCTGGTTGGCACATGAAAAGTGAATAATTCCAATTCATCTCATCCAAAATATTACATGTTCTCGCACCATTAAAGAGCCCTTGTCATCCATGGTCCCTCTACCATAGATGAAGCCATCCATCTCCTTGGCAGAGAATGGTGGGGCCTCCCAGCCATCCGATTCGGAGGCAGGTACTACATCTATGTGGGCCAGCAGCAGGTATGGCACCAGGTCAGACCGTGATCCTTGCACCCAAAACAGGTGGCTGTAGTTGGCCACCAATTCATGACGAACCAAGCTTGAAGAGAAAACTGTCGGGAAGGCTGACACAGGAAGACGAGTACAAGCTTAAAGGGTGAACACCATCTATTTACAAATTAAGGTCAGTTTAATACTGAAAAAAGGTGTATAACTTCATGTGTAACTTGACAGGAGTGCGAGAGTCTACAAAGATAACCTGTGTGGCATGAGGGCTGAAACATGGGTCTAACAAAAAAAGATTATTTTCGTTGCATCATGGCAAATGTAGGATCAAGCGTCTTTGGAGCTTAACACATACAAGGGACTAAAAGTCATGATAACGCAGCCTCTGTAGCTTTAATATTATATATATATATATATATATATATATATATATATACACACATTTTATATTTGTCTGCTGTGAGCCCACAAAATTAAGGAACAAATACATTTCTTTAAATGTACAAGTCTGTGTTATTATACAATAAGTAAAGCTGAAATCAGTTGATTAATCAATTAGTCAATGAACAAAAAAAATATTTAAAAACTAAATAGAAGTTATTTTGATAAGTGATTCATTTTCTGAGTCATTTTTAATGAAAAAAAAATGAAACTGAATATCTTTGGGGTTCTGGACCACCGGTTGGACAACATAATGTGGCCTAAATGGAAACAGTTCAAGTGTAATGACAAAAACCTGAATTAAATGTCACGTGGAAATACTGTAACGTTATCTGTTAACTGTCAGCAAGGCTAAAGAGTGATGCACTTGATTTTAAATGGCAGGAAACCTTCCTTAAAGAATGTAATGGCATGAATTGGGCTTTATTGTGTGATATAAACAAATGACCTGTCATGGAAGTGAAGCCATTGACAGAGGGAGTCTGGTAAAAGCACGGAACTAGCTCAACTGTTACGCAACATCTACCGTATTTACGTAACACCTTTCAACGTTACCTTTGCGGAGGAATCTGTCAAATTCAAGCAGCGCGGTGGTGTTGCTCTCCTTCTCTGAAAATGACACGGTGGGGATCCGGATTGCCTCTGCACACAAATAAACAAGAGATAACGCTCATTAGTGTCGGTCACTGGTGGCTTTGTTTCCAGCTACTGTCCACGCAGTGCAACAAGCATTTACACTTCATTCGTTACACTAGCGAGCGAAAAATTACCTTTAAAATTTGCGAGCAGCTCCTCTCGCTGTCGGTGGCCTATGACGAGCGAGATGTTATTCGTCTTTTCCCAATGTGCGAGTTGAAGTCCGACATTTACGTCCAGCGAAAGCGTCCTGATAGACGCTATGGTGAGTAACAGCAACACTGCAATAAATAAACTACTTATAATAATCTTTAAAAACTTGAATATGTTAAACTTTGGCCCCGAGTCTGTCATTGTGTGTTGTGACAGCGGAACTCGTTCACTGAGACTGCGTGCAGAGTGAATGAGTTTGTTGAATGAGAGCCGCCTGCTGGCGCCAATATTAATTGCACTTGTAATCTTCCTCACATTTATCAGAAGTGGATTATACTATGCGAAAGATCCCTGCTGATTTGTACATCTGCATGTATTGTTTTTCAGTTTAGTTAGGATAATTAGTTGCACAAACAAAAGTATAAAGCAACACGTTCTTTATTTAAATATGGTTCAAATATACTTTTAAAAAAATACATCACATAAGTACAGTGGCGCTAATTCATTGATAATGCAACATGACACAATTTGGGTTAGGAAATATAAAATAAATATAGCATTATCATTTATACATAAGAGAACATCTTTTAAAGTCTCAGCTTAATTTCTGTGTTTTAGAAATTGTTTCCACAATGCCGACAAGAGCAATTGATAACACATTCATAAGCATAAGTTATAAAACTGTAAAACTAGACTTTGAGGTTTGCTCCCTTAAAGACAAACAGTCAATGGTAAAGCAGTATGTGCTCCCTGAAGATATCCCAGGACAGGGTCATCATGGCTTGCATCACCCAAAAAAAAAAAAAAAAAAAAAAAAAAAAAGCAACCTTCACAGCTGTAAATCAATGTGGAGGATTAAAGAGTTACTCCAGTCCAGAGAGTGCTGGTGCGTCCCGTGTCTCAGCCTGAAGCGAAAGCCCCTCCTCGCTGTCTGTACCCTGGTTTAGACTGTCCAGTAAGGCCACAAATGTACTAAGTGAGTCGTCCTGAACACAAACATAAATGAGGTACAAGAGGCACACCACAATGAGGAAGACCAAAATCTGGATCTGGACTGGCACAAGGCGGCGCTCAACCTCTCGTCTCTCCAACGTCGTGGGACTGGCAGGAGTGTCTGGGTACGTGTACTGGACAGGTCTCCCTGCTGCACCCTTGATGGCTCTCCGGCGAGTGGCACTGAAATAGAACAGAGTACATGTGCCGATAACCCAATCACGATACTCCTTCAGTATGTGCTGCTATGCAAGATGTCCACGCGTCACCCACCACCAATTCAAATTCCTGTATATTTCTTGTACTTGAGTGAAACCTTAAAGTCATTCAACAACTTCAAAAACAGAGGCACACTGTAATAGTGTTGGTGTGGCACTTACTAGATCCCTGTGGGTGTGGCATTAGTGTTTGGAAGCAGGTCCCTGAAAGTATCTTTCATGGGCTCCTGAGAAAGGTAGAAAAGAGAGCAGAAACTACAGTCAAGGAGGACAAGTGAAAAAGAGAAATATGCCCCAGTCCAACAGAGACCCGGTGAACTGTGATGTAAAGGGTGAACTGTGATGTAATCACTAGAGATCTGAAAAACACTAACATTTAAAAAAAAAAAAAAAAAAAAAAAAAAAAGCGCAACTCTTAAGTGTGTATTTTTTTTGTTGTTTCAGTTCCACATAGTAACACGGACATATGAAATGAGTAGACAATGCACACATCGAAAACAGAAAATGTATGATGTATATGCCTTGATTTCCCAATCATAAGTGGATGCCTTGGGCGTGTAGTACAGGGACTGGTTCTTCAGGTTGTCCTTGTTAGGAGTGGGCATATCCAGCTAAGGAAACAAGACGTAACACATCGTGATTGCTATAGTACGAGTTTCCGCCAGTCTCCAGTGAACCTTTCCAACAATTTTGACCACCACCAAAGTTTGAGCCTAAAGTGCGACTGAATAATGTGAGCACTACTGACCCTGCTGGAGCACGAACAATGCTCCTGCACATTGCACCCATTCAAATCCCTCTCAGTGTCTATGCTCATGGAGTGTGACCTCGAACTCTCCATCTGTTGTTAGAGGTGATAATGTACATGACCGAGTGAACGCTCCACCGGCGCTAACTCGCAACCTTTAAAATAAGAAGAATTCTTAAAGTTCAGAAACTGTAAGATTAACTTTCCTCCTCAACCATCTGGGTGATGCTGAAGGCCTGAGAGGAAATCGTTGAGCCATCATTGGGCATAACTGATCCAGATGGAAACTGCAAGAATTAGTATTATAAGTTAACAGAAACATGCATCATTCATCACACAATCTTAACACCAGTGAGATACCAATACCCATTACTGTAAAACAAAAACCCATTGGTGGCTTGACAGGCTCACAATGAATTTGCAGTGTAAGTGAGGAATGCAGAGAATTTAAAATCCGTGAGAGAAGTGAAATAAGACCAGCCTACCCCTGATCCTAATCCCGAGCGTTGATCTACAGAGGATGCTCTACTAATTCCTACGGGAATCTTTGAGCAGCTAGGACGACTCCGCTCCAATGGTTGTATCACATTCCCTGAATTCCACTTGGGACTCAGTTCCCTGTTTCTAGAAGAATGCGCATGCTACGAAAGGCCAACCCAAGCAAACATCGGGGGGGAAAAAAAAACACATATCAGTGTCCCCTGAGAATTCAGTTTGTCTGAATTTTGCACAAAAGATATGTAGTATTTACCAGCCTTGATGGGGGTAAAAAGCACTGCGGGTAAAAAAAAACACCATTCTGAAAACACATAAAACTGCAAGTGCTTACTTCAAAAAATGAACAGTTCCAGTTAGAACACAAGTTCACAGTTGCCATCTGTGACCACTAAGTGGCACTGCAGCGATGTGATGCAAGAAAATATATTGAACAGCAAAAGCATACAGATAGTGTGAGCTCCCCAGTCAAGTGGTACTAGTCATTAACACAGGACGTCTAGATCAGCTATCCAAAGATATCAAGAACTTCCTACAATTTGCTCACCTGGCCGCTCCCTTGTTGTGCCTGGTCTGACTGTTCATGCGTTTCTTCTTCTGCTCCTTCGGAACCTGTGCAAGTCACAGAAAACAATGAAATACAAACGCAGAACAAAAAATGGGCCATGGCCACGAAAATGGCCAAGACTATTGTTATACTGTGCAAAACCCATCTCTTCATCAACACTAAAGTAACCTTTATGTTATGTTAACTGATGGTTTATCCATATATTAGTCGCTGTAATACAGCTTGGGCTAGTACCCATCAGAGAGAACTTGAGTCCATATACTGTCTTCAAAAACCATCACTGAGAATAATAAATTGTGTACGTCGGTAACATTACTCTGAGCCTCTTTTTCTTAAATTAGGTGTCCTCAGAGTTTAAACCAACCACAAAAACTAAAAATCCGGACTGGTCATACCTGACTCTTCGTCCTCTTGTTCCCCATTTTCATCCTCGTCTTCACTGTCAGAGTACAATACACCTTGCTCTACTCCGTTCAGACAGCCATGTCCATCAGACTGAAGCAGTTTCCTGAGCTTCTTCTCATACACTGCTCTGGTGGAGGCTAGCATAGACAACAAAAAAACAATACTATAGCGATTAGTTCTTTTAAGACAGGGGGCAAACAAACCTAAAAAAAAAAAATAGAGCGATGCTGAACATTATGTCTCAACACATTCATTAAAACTGAATTGTTGATAGCAACAATTCCTCACCGACTATGGGCCCAGCTTTAACCCCGTGTTTGAGAAGCGCGGCCATGAGGTCATCGTCAGTCAATCCACTCGGGTCAGCCATCTCTGCCTCCTCCTCCTCCTCCTCCTCCTCCTCGTCGTCCTCCTCCTCCTCGTCCTGGCAAAACACAAGTTTCTGAATTAAAGCGAATGCTGTTCGAGACACGACAAAGACTGCAGCTTGGATGCCAGCAGTTTCCAGGTGTGGGATATAGAGCATATAAACAAAAATGCTCATATTCATCTAATTTTTGCACTTTGTGAATCTTCTGCTTATTAAATGTAAAACTATTGTAAACAACCACAGAAGAAGAAGTTATCAGTTGAGACCGGCATATCATATACCAACTAACAGATAATTATGATATGGTGTATTGTTCCACTTTGTCACAGCTCCTAATGACAACACGTGAATGATTGCTTCTGAAAAAAAAAATAAAAATCATTCAATTAATCTGGTAATTATTTTAAATTAATTATATGAAATGCCTGAGAAATAGTGAAAAAAACGCCAATCAATATTTTCCAGAGCACAAGGTGATATCTTCAACTTCCCTGTACCACTTATATATAAAAAACAAAATAAAAGCTGCAATATATTAGATTTGAAAAGCTGCAACCTGCAAATGATTTAAATGCTGAGTTGAACATCAAACTAGTTGAAAATGTATTTGCTCGACCAATAGATTAATTCAGCTCTGAACATCAGCAGGGTCTAGAGTGCAAATCCTGCAGCAGATGATAAATGTGAAACTTTACAGTACTGTTGATTAAATAGGCTAAAGCAGACTAAACACAGTCTGGACAGACCGTCTTTCTTCCCCTGTGACACAGCACAGAAACAACCTCCAGACGTTAAGTGCTGGTGCTCTTCTTGGCACACTTGAATGAGTGCGACAGGTGTGGCAAGCACATGCACTGGACTGCGATGGCATAAGCCAACTGCAGAAGCGTCTGATGTAAATCTATACCTACTATACAGCTGGTGGCTCAGTGATCAAGGACCTCGAATGCTACACCAAGCTGACAGGACCGTTTGGTAGCCGTGACCCAGATCACCAGCTCCACAACCCCTCCACAGCTACGGAGCATGCGCAGCATCGGTTTAAATGAGTTCATACCAATTATTACTATGCACAACGAGTCCTGCTTATCAAACACAAATATAGCCCTTAAAGGCAGCATTGTTGACAAGTCTTTTACCAGGCAACATATTTATAATGGCAAACATTTTGGAGCGTCATTTCTTCAGACATGTAAATAAGAAGTTCGCCACCACAAAGTAGAAAGCACCATCGTCATGCGAAGTTACAGAAAGTTGCGATTGCAAAAGTAACTTAAATTATAATATAGTATGTGACAAAAAGACCATAAGTGTGATCAACTCACTGCCACATATCGTACTTGATCCTCCTCGTCGCTGGAAAAATCCGCTGAGTTTTTCTGATTGATGTGTTTTAAGTGCAACTCCACATAAATCTCCTTTTTGCTCTTGGCAGGTGGCAGCGCGACATTGTGGGCAACCAGATCCAACTTCAGTCTGGCTTTAGAGAGGTGAGCCGGGTCCTCCGAAAACAGCGACATGTCACGAGTACGACGCGGAAAATAATCAAATGTAGTTCAACTTCAGCGGCTGCTCTTTATACTTGTGAAGGCAGATGCTATCCGACAGAGCTGACGCGTAGGAATCCCTCTTGCTCGTGGTCTGAGGATCTGAACTGAGAAGAACAGCTGCAACCGACGACTTGATTGACAGCAATTTAACAATTCCGGTACTCAGTAAAGCACCGCCAGCGAAAGCATTAAATTGAAATCCTTTCATGACCTGATGATAAACTAATTTTAAGCTTAGTTAACATTTAGATATATCATATCTAAATACAGAAAAGTACAGGCGTTACTAATTAACAGTGTTTTTACATGGACATGAGTATCCCGGTTATGAGGTTTGTACCGGTTTTGATCAAAATAAAGGATTAGTTGTTTACATGATGCTTAAACACAAAAACGGTTTACTTCAAAAACCCCAATCTTAAACACGATATTTGTGTCCGTGAATACACTCTGTGAGTCATTTCTATGTCCCAAGCCATGACAATTTAATTCATTGAAATACATTGTATTATTTACACCTGGGCTTTTATCTCTAACATGTCAAAATGTATTCAGTGAAAAAAAAAAAGAAGCCTATTGGTTACCTAATTATGAAAGTTTGAGTTGTCAGTGCAAATTCCTCCAGCCAAGCCACAGCAATTGAAATGTGTACCTTTGACCTCCAGGCTTTGGCTGCTGTTGGTGTAGTGGTCGTCTCTCTGGTGGGTGAGGCTGCATTTTTACTGGAACGATGGATATCCACCTAGTGCATGTAGAAGTGGTGAGTAGTTTCCTTTCCTAACATCTGTTAAAAAACAAAAGACAAGAAAAAGCACTTTGTTCAGGTGATTGTCTGTAAAGCAGGAGGTGCTGAATTGTTCTATTAAGGACTTTTTTCCCCCAACTAAACACCTACAGCAGGCATCTGTTCTGAAAAACACTTCAAATCATCAGCGGTCAAGATAGAACTCAGTAAACCTGCTTCTTGGAACAGGCCTCTGGTGCTTTCAGAGATCTTATCAGTACGAAATAAGTGAGATCCCAGAAAAGCTGGGTCGTGATTACCGACAACAGATGTCCTTCTCAAAAAACATGATTATTGAACATGTGTGGACGACTTTATAGAGTAAAACTAAACAACCCCTACCCCCAAACATCTGGTACTGCTGTGATTATTTCTCAACTATTTTCCTGAAGCAGAATTTTTAGCCAATTAGTCATTTTTAATGCTTTTTTTATGCCAAATTGCATATTTTCAAGAAACTTATGAGCACATATCTGGTGAACACAAAATTGAAAGTGGTGTTTATTGTGATTCTTTGTGGAGAAACTCAGTTTGACAGATCTGTCGATCAAAATCAACTAATCAATTAGTGGACAAAGTCGTATTAATGTTAGTCGACACGGGAATTTCTGTGATCGAAGACTGCCCTATTATAAACGTAATTATAATGTGTTATAAAAACACAAGAAAAATAAAACAAAATGGAACAGCATAAAATGTTCCCACTGGATTGTATTCCTTAAATACCACTCAATGCCAGTGGAAACATTAACAGATGAAGCACAATGGATCTCATGAGCCAAAGATGGGTTAATTTGTTTGTCTTTGGTGCAAATTGTACAAAACAGCTAAGAGATATTTAAATAGATGACTTTGCTATGTTTGTGCTCATGAAATGACAATACAGCAGGTGTTTACATTGCTTTGCAGTGATATTTGAGTTTTAGTTGAGCAGACGAGATCGCATGCTGTGCTGTTTACTGTTGGGAATTTGAACTGTATCATTTTTAGATTGATCAAGTCCGTGTGATGTGAGAAAAACAACATTGGTTTTCAGTGGGGGCCTCCAGTGGGATGAGTGGATTGACTTTGCCTGATTAGGATCCATCAGTATTGAACATGTATACTGTTTTATTGTTTGGTAAAAAAAACACAACTGGCCCACCTGGAATTTTAATCTGTTTTTTGATACATTTTTCTACTTCAGGCAACATAATGCAAGAACTGGTATTCTCCCAATTTGGCGCCCCTACAGTTTTGGAGATGTACACCATTGTCGTACAAATAGCAAAGATATGCTGCAGCGAGTTACCTTTGTTGCATTGTGCCTTTTGCTGAGTAACAGTGAATGTTAACAGGGATGATTTACTGATACAGTATTGAACATATCAACATTTTACAGTAGATTGAAAGTTAGGGTTGTAGCATCAAGACATTGTCATAGATTGTGTTTTAAAGGCATACAAAACTGTTAAAGGTTAATACAAAAAGTCTCAAATCAAAGTGGTTTGAGTCCTGACTTGCTCATATTTGCTTTGCACCGAGAATTAAGACTTGATTCCAAAAGTCTGATATGGATAATTCCAAGTTCAAAGTCAGGAGATATTCAGAGTTATTACAGTCAGAAGCCTGAATGCTCCTGGAATCCTTTTGAAAGATCCACAGGGAGGGGGTAGGAACCATGAGAGGCCACATTTGAAGGGTTTTATAAAAGAGCTTTGACGGCTCAGCTGGCTGCGATGCACACAAAGTACCTGTGAGGATACAGTTCAAAGTGTATAGTCTTGTTGCACGGTGCCTTCTTCTAGCCTCTATCAAAAATGAGCAATAATAATATTAAAATCAAAATTACTATTAAACAGTGATTTGAATGTAATTTATTTAACAAATGTTTGTGACTTGTTTTTTGAATTGTGACTGATATGCAGTTTAGCACTGCCACTGCACAAATAATATTTGCTTGAATTTCAATTCACATTAAGTTAATCAGAACCATGATTAATACTGAACGACCAATACGTCGTTCTTTATGGAAATTAAACAAATGAACAAAGTAAACAAGATGAATGAAAATATTACTTATTTTTCAGTTTATAACCTGAATCCAAAGGTCAGGCCTTTTTTCACCTCTGAATATTTTTTTCCATAGATATCACAGCTGGGGCATAATATGCTAGTCTTCACATGCTGATATGATGTCATTGCTGTAGATAATAATTAGGAAACCGGAAAAGCAGGCTGGTGCAGTTGGTTCATGATTTGGGTGATAACTTGTTAAAGTGTTCAGCCTACAGATAAAAACAATGGAGTGAATTATGTTGCCCCATTATTTTATTAATAGCAACACATAAAAGCATTTCATTTTATGTAAAAAAAAAGGTCTAATTCTTTGCAAATGCGATGAATGCATTTATTGGTAGGTTTATGTAAAGCTTTATGAGGCAGTAGCGATGTCATTCAAGTTTAGGTTTGAAAACGTGTTAATCGTCAGCAGGATATAGGCTTAAACAATCCTGAACTTTCACTTTTACATAACAGGTTGTGTAGAATATCCTGTTGAGACATCCAAAGTAACGTCCCAGATGTATGTAATGAGAGCTCTAAGCTGTTTATTGAAGTTGTAGAGCAGCTGAGAGCAGCAGGAAATAAACGCTTTAATTTCCTTGACCATCTGCTAAGTCACAACTTTTATGAAATCCAGGCAGCTGTCCAGAAACAACTGCAGGAAAATATGTAGCTCCAACTCACAATATCTGTATTTGCACCACAACTGCAAAAGTTTGATGTAAGGAGAGATGCGTGACATAGATGCCGTTGACTACAGTTTTTGTTGATATCATTACAAAATATTGTAGATGCCACAAATAGCTGTCAACAAAGTCTTTAAAGCCACTTCCTCAGGTGACTGTCCACTGTGTATCCAATGGCTTTAAACCCTACATGAAATGTTAGAAGGAACTCACATAGGAATAGAAAGCCATAAGACGCAGTTGTGGTTTGATTTGGAAGAGAATAACACAAAATCAGTGACTGATGGAGTTTGAGAAAAGCTGAAAGCTTGAAAGCGAATAGAGGAAAAAAAAACATGGCCAGGCTGCAGAAAGTATTCAGGATTTAAAACTCACATTCGCATGAATAATTAACCAAAGAAACTGTAAGTATTCATCTGAGGCCCGGGGGAGTAAAATGAAACTGTCTTGTTAGTCTTCAGATGGAAGGAATTGTATTTTTCAGAGCACAGACTCAAATAAATTGACCCCTGTCCAATGCGTGAATGTTACAGCAATACCCTGCAAGCTATTCAATTCCTCAGGGGGCTCTGCAGAACAATCTTTGATTAAAAATGCCGTTTTAAACCAGAGTCTACAGGGGAAAGGTGCAATGGTGATCAAAAGGATTCTGTCTCTGAATTCAAAACAGCTTTTGTAAAGTATTCTGTAGCAATCCTCTCTGCCTGACTTCCACAAGCACAAAGAAGATCATCACTTCAACATTTTGATTCAACTACTGGGCACAGGAAGGCTAGCAGTTTGTATCATCTTGTTATGTGGTGACCAAAACAGTTTTAGCAGATATAATGTTCAACATTTCCATGCAGTAAATCTCTTGTGCCTCTTTAATTAATCAAAGAGTCAAGCATAATTAATGCACAGAAAAACTAACGTACTTAATTGATTTCATACATATTCCCACGACTCTTTAAACTGAAAGAAGTTGAACAGAAATCATATCTTTCTGTGTTGGACTGAAACAGCAGACTGTTTACCACTATATTAACATGTTGGAAGTGCTTTGGGCCATTTTCAACCCGTCTGTGAGTACAGACCTCAGCACTCGAGCAATGCCGGCCAAATCTGCACACACAGATGTCTGCTCAGAAAACAGTAGCCTTTATGAAAACATGAAAAACTCTTGTGGACAGAGAGGAACCGGACTACTATAGAGGACAGAGGAGGCATTTGTTGACATTGTATCAAGTGCACCGCTGAGATATTTGAGGCACAGAGGGGCCAGGTATTTGTCAGTCAGTGTTTCTTGTGCTTTTGCTGTCTCCAACTCAAACAACAAAAGCCCCATTGAGACAGACGCTTTTTTTTCTCTGAACAAGCACACAAAGCTTCCTGTACTAGGCTGCAACTCTCCAGTACTGAGAACCACTTCTGGTTGCCTTTTTATACACCTGTTTCGAATTGCTTTTGCACAGCAAGATTGGAAAAACACTTTGTCAGAAAGTTTCCCATCTTTTCTCATCGCTTTGCTGCAGTTAAGTTAGCTTTTTTATGAAATCCCATAGTTGCAAGATGTCCGAACTTTCTCTCAAACTTTTTTACTAAAGAGATTGAGAAACACAATGAAGCTAAGCGTACTTTTTTTTAAAGTTTGTCAGTCTAACCAAACATCCAGTGGTTAACACACTTAGATTTATATCTCATTGGCCTCACATATGCTGGATATTCACATAACATCTGACAGAGAACATTATGAGGGAAAGTGTTTATTTGATTTGCCTTTTTCCAGGTTTTTGGAAAAAGACCACTGCCACTGAGCTCCAGGGGAGCCTGTTCTCATGCATGCCTCAGCATAAATTAGTAAAGCCCCTGTGTCAGACTCTGTCCAGACAAGAAGGTGAATCTCAGCCACAGGGAGGATTAGCGTTTATCCCAAAACATCGTACATCTCTCTGCTAGGAGCCAATTCAGGGAATAATCAGTATCCAGATGTTTTTATTGGCTTTAGATAATATATTTAGTTACATTACTCTGTTTTTTTCTGGAGTACGAGGAATGTGGATATTTTCTCTAAGAAATTGTAAATGCAAAGCTATAACAATACAGCAAGTGACTAATATTCCACAATTTGACATTCAGACATTGATCTTGAAAGTTAGAGTGGTGGCACCTGATTTCTTATCCTATGCAGTACTCCCTTTTCATATATTACAAACACACCTTCCACTGGCAGACAAGACAACCAACACACATTTAAACACGGCATACAACACATGAAAGCCTCAGAGTATCACTGTCATTCTTGGATGAAAACAATATACATTTTTGTCACTTTACACTTCTGAGAGTAATGGTGGCGTTCATTTAGTGCTGCTCGTATTCATATGCTATAAATCCGACTCTTACCTCCTTCTTCCTCTCCTGCGTCCCTCGCTGGAACGAGTATGGCATCCCCTCAGCCGAGTACTGTATGGTGAGACAATGGGTAGTGGGGGGAGGAGGAGTTACTGTGTGAGCAGGAGCGAGAGTGGGGAGACAGGGGGAGTAAAAGCAGAATGAAAACTGGGAGAGGGAGAGAGAGCGAGGGGAAAGGAGACTCAGAAGGGAGATCACTCGCTCACAATACTCTCAAACCACGAATCTGACGAGACGTTGCATGAATGGCAATTCTTGAAACCCCCCCCCTCCTCAGATGCAATGTCAGAGAAAACAGTAACCAGAAATCCCTCTTCATGTGGGAAATGTAAGGAAAAACAAGAGACTGTGAGAGAATGAGTCCTGGATTTAAACAAGTCCCTTTCTTTGGCTTTCGCTGAATGAGTTCTTAAGATTCCAAGTTGGCAGAGTGCCCATGGGTCCTGGATGGAAAAGGATAAAAGAGGGGCTGAGGTAGGGGGGCTCCCTATTGTGTTTGTTCCCTTTCCTTTCAGTCCTGGCACTCTAGTTGATCTTTGCAGCCAGTTGCTGAATATTCCGGTCACTTATCCCTCAGTTGTGTACAGAAGCTGCATTTTTTTTTTTTTTTGCATTTTCATCTGGATTAATGCACATGTTTTCTCCCAACGATGACACAAAGTTTATTTTTGTCACCCTGCACATACAGTATTGACAGTTTGGGTGGGAGGTTTAAAACAAGAGGACCAGAATGATTACCAAACGCGGGTTGACTTCAAGTCAACACTGATCTAAAGATGCTGGTGTCTTTACAGTCTCTTAGTCTTTGTTTGGGCTGTTTTTTCAACAGTCCACTAGTAGAGGCAGAATGCTATTTTGCTTGGTGAATCTGGGATGAAGACAGCAGGTGCAGTTGCCCCTCTCTGAGTCACATTCAACCACAGCTATCTCCCCCTTGAATCCATTTCCTCTACTAATACACCCGCCTCACCCTGTCTACGCAAGGAGGGGGGGTTAGATAGGGCGAATGAGAAGCACAATAAACAGAAAAAAAGCTACAGTTTGTTGAAGGTTTTTAACGAGTGACGTGTTAATCGCACCGTCCTGACCGGAATGGCTGATGAGCATGTGTGACACAGAGCGAAGGCGATCGTGTAGAGGGTGTAAAGGATTAATGCGACCGCATCTCTTGTCAGTCACCACTGTGCTTCTCACCGCTGCTTGTGCTGCATCGGTGGCGCAAGAGAAGCCCTGTTTTCACTCACAGTCTGCCCTCCTCTTCCTCCTCCTCCTCCCTCCCCGCAAACCCTTCCTTACCCTCTCTCTGTCTTTTTTCTTGCTCTCTCTCAAATAGACACACAGGCTGGGTTCATTACTATTCACCAGGTTTCACTCGGACACGCATCATTGCTCCGCTCTCTACAACTGTGTCGGGGGAGAGAGGGTGCAGGGGAGAAGGAGACGAAGGGAAGAAGCAAGAGACGTCTCATGATAGAATAGAATAAATCACCATTGTTTGTTTCTCTGTGTCCGGATGTGTGTGTAGAAACATATTACCAGACAGCTGCATGCATGAGTTGTTCACTGACAGAAAGATCCTCAGGGCAACAAAGCTGGTTCAGTCCTCAATACAGAAAATCTGTTTTCCTCTGTGGGGTTTTGAATTCATCACTTGCCTTTAATTAAATCCACTGAGGTCGTACACTCTATCACGGCTCAAGTTATTATCTGTGCTGATATACTGACAAAGCATTTCATCCATGTAAATGGGCACGGTGGTTGATTTCTATTCCTGTGTTGGCTAAGCCGTCTGTTCTCTAGAACTCTGTCACGTCCATTTCAGGAAAAAACGCTCTTCAAATGAATCCTTTTTTTAGGCTACTTGTGATTTTACTGTTTAGTCAGCTGTTCACAATAGATTACAATGATTCCTAGAATTATAGCTAAATCATAAGGGAGGAGAAAATCTGCTGCAGTGGCAACCTCCCCATCAAATCATACCCATTTGATTGTCTCTCTGTTGTTGGCCTTGAGCTTCGACTTTCAATAATTCTGCAGCCTTTCTTCTTGGTTTGTATCATTTCATGTTTTAGGGTACAGGAGACTCTGTAGTGGAGTGTTGTTACAGTTCTAAACAGCTTTCTCCATTGCAAGGTTTCAAACAACAAATAAATAATGTCTAAGATGATTTGCGAACACAGAGGATGCAACTCTTCTTTTCTTTTCTGCATGACATCAGGAGAGAAAGTAGATTGGAAACTGAATAGGACCATTGAAGAGGTTGCAGTTGTGTTTTCACAAAGTGACGGTGGGGTGAACGAGAACTACGACTAGTCGATCGGAATTTATTTTTATCTGCAACAGTTTCTACAATCACTTAATCATTTGAGTCATTTTTAAAGACACAATTACAACTGTTTTCTTCATCTTCTAAACTAAATATCTTTAGTTTCTTAACCATTGTTTACCAAATATTCTCCAAGTTAATTGATAATAAAAATCATCATCGGTTGCAGCCCTACTGTAAACCATGTGAGCTGGACTTGAGTGGCACTTGATGAGTGATGCATCCCAGGGTGTGTTGTAACTAAAGCAGAGCTTACCTTACACCCTTAAATCCCACTCCAAGGATTTAATGTCAGCTTTACACCTGCTGAGCCTTTAGCAGTGATGTAATGTAGAATTATATTATGTCATTTATTGTTTTTGTAGAGGTTTAAGATGATGTCAGGCGGTCTGAACGTGTAGATACAGAAACAGAAAAAGTAATTGGCCTCTGATAAACAATTCACTGTAAGACCAGCAGCATTAAGCATTGAAGCATAATTAGCCAATACAACAGTGATCAATAGTCTGCTCCATTTACAGTATAGAGTAGGGATTTGCTGACAGAAGCCATTATTTTCGGAGGGCTCCAGATGTGATCGGCTGGGCGCTCTTTTAGGAATTCTGGGTGGGGATTCCTGATTGAAGCCTTTGGATAAGCATCAACGCTCCACTGAACTTAAACTACTATTCACATAATATTAAAGCCACTGTTGGAGTATAAGGCTCTGCGCTCAGTCCAATACACTACAAAACTCAAATGACATTCTGAAAGAAAGACCTAATGCGCACACAGAGTACAATTCTTTTAAGATGCATGATAACTCTGGAGTCGTATCAAAAGATCTCCCATTTCTGCTGCTGTCCAACCCTGTCGTCGTGTTTATGTAATAATGTGCAACAGCAAATACGATTTGTTAGAAAATATAATGCCTTTCCTATCAACATAATTAGAAAAATTGGTGAAAATGTTGATACTGAAAGTATCTGCTAACTGTTCTTTGTGTATTTTGTTCATTTTCCTTATAAGACAAAACCAGCATGTAGCAACATGATTCAACATTTGTTAGGGTTATGTATTGGCACACACAGAACTTGGTTAAAGAATAGGTTCACATTTCTTCAAGTGGGCTGTGAAACAAGCTGTACGAACACTGGTACAAGCTTTGCTTGCTGTTATCATTCCTCCCCTACAAGATCCCTTTCTAATGCGCTTTCAATCTTAATGATGGGAGACGAAACGCCCAATCCTCGTTCTGTGCAAAAGAAAAATACATTTTAAAGTGTAGCTGAAACTAATGTGATGCGTCAGCAGTCTCAGTTTAGGTGGTTATCATTCAAAGTCACGTTTCGTTAAATAAATGTCAATAGGATGAATGATCACACCAAGAAAAACTGATAAATGTGAACCTATCCTTTAAAGGTACATATCATGGGCTTGGTTAAATATTCAACAGTGGCTTGAGCGCACTCTTGACAGGACAAGTCTACATTTTATTGACATGTAGACAAAACCATAAAACCTTAATCACATGCCACCCTCATGGTACGAACGCTGGTCTTCAGTGTATCCACCTCGACCACCTCCATGCGACTTGTAAGCCGTACAAAAAGCAATTCCAGCAGTTGAAGAACAGTGCTTGTTTCTCATCAAAACATAACTGGCAAATGAAATATAAATATTAGCAGACGTGGTGTGGGGCTGTCCTTATTATATATTATTCTTAAGAAAACAGTGGTAAAGATGTTAGTCTGTATTACAAATAAGATCCCTTCATCGTCACTGTTTTAGCATCTTCGGATTGGTTTCTTCCTACTTTTAAAAAGCAAAGAGTTAGCCTTCAGAGAATGCTCCCTTATCAGTTTCATAGAAATGATTTCACGTGAAAGTGACACTTCATTTTCTTTGTCTCTCTCTCTCTTATTAAAGTCCTCGAATAATTTGATGACTTTTTATCTGCTCATGTACCAACCCTCACAAGTGCTTTATGTTTTAACTGCTACCACCTAGCAGCTAGTTTGACAGCCCAGAGCCTCGAAGAATACAACTGTTTTGCCCCGCAGCCATGTCTGTTTGCATACCACATATCCTTGGCTCTATTTTGGGCCTGAGGAGATGTGTTGGGGGTACACTGCAGGGCATTTCCATCCAGGGCTGCCGGGGACTGACTGGAGAAATACAGATATGTGACAGTTACATGTCTTACTGCTCCAAGAGGAGCCTGTATCATGTCAAGTATAGCTAATCCCCTCACTTGTGCATATACTCACTAAATCACTGTCTAACTTGACAAGTAACTGTGAATTCCTCCTTCTCAAAGACCTTGAAATGTTTATTTTGGTCTCTCACGTGTTATTAAATATACACATCCACAGGCTTATGAAGAAATATAGTGGGCTTTGGAGGTATTAGCATGTAATCCATGGCATTTATTATTCTTTTATATTATATTGCAGCATGTGCTTTTCTCTGCAGGCTCACACAGTGTTGTGGCTTTCATTGGCTTTGCACAGACTTACTCACTGGCACATATTCAGTCCATCCTTGGTCTGCTCCCCTCCTATCTTTCTGGGTATATCTCCCCTAAAAGTAGTTATTGTTGTTTGTGATCAAATGGCACCATCTTACTGTTTGTCCGTCAGGCTGGCACTGAAATAGACCTTCATGCTGTCCGCCCCTGCAGCCTGGAACCGATTGCACACAGACCTGCAGTTGATCCCAGTTAGAACTTTTAAACACTTTGTGAAGGGTTTGGAGGCCAATTCAATAAGAGTTTGTAATTGCTTCCATAGCTATTTCTGTTTCCTCCTGTCTGTGTTCCTGGGCATGTGACTGTGTATTAACTAGTACGTCTGTGTATATCTTGCTTGAAACACTTTGCTGCCGTCTTGGCCAGGGCTCTCTTGGAAAAGAGATTTTCTCATCAAAATGAGAGTTACCTGGTAAAATACAGATTTGACACAAAAAAGAAGTATATGCTGGGGGAAGAGCAGAGAGAAAAATCAGATTATGATTCCTTTCACATTGTCCTGGAACTGTCTCAGGCCTCTCATCGAGAGTTGGCTGAATGTCAGCCTATAGAGATGAGACAGAGAGGTGCAAGGCAATGTCGCTTTTGTCCACTTTAAAGCCCGTCAGTGATGTCTTATCTCCTCATGTGGCTGCCATCAGCAAGCCCTGTGTATTGTGCTCGTTGTGTTTAAGAGATAGAGAGAGTAACAATCTCCCATAGAGGCAAACCGGATGTATTTTGCCTTAAATTGTGGATGAATGCAATACTTTTACACCATCTAGTGTTGAAACTGTGTGTAGAAAATGCTCTCCTAAAAAATGTGTTGCATTACTTTGTTATTTCACTTCGGTGTTTGAGCGTCACTGTGCGTGCTGATGTATGTGCAGAGTTTGACACGAGAAGGCTGTTTTACCATTCATCTGCCGAAGGGGAAACATGTCTCTGAGTACTATTGATGAAAAGTGCAATGTGCACAGTTGAAGCCTCTGGTGCATAGACACTTTTCAGTGAAATTGGAAACATCTTGTGTCCAGCAGTTCAACTTTCAAGATTAACAATATTTGCATATTCTTCAAAGAGAGTGAAGGACTGGACATGAAGAATTTCTGGCAATGTTACTGAATTTATTTTGCGGAGCAGCACAAATTATCATTCCAAGCATAGTGTTTGTCTGGAGGGGGGTGTAAAAGTGTTCAACAAAAATACAATAAATAAATCAAGTGATACATTTACTTTTATAAAATGTGGAGCATCTTATTCACCCACTCATTTCCTCAAGTACACCGATTTTCGAGAATTTTGTGTTCTTTAATTCGCAAACACATGCAGTTCCTCTTCTTAATCTAACCTGTGTAAATGATATGTTGATTCAAAAACAGATGTCCTACTTCAGTAGATTTTTAACACCCCCCTTGCACGCCTCTAGGATTGTGTTAGTTGACAATTACCTGGAGAAGTCATCTTGTGCTGCTATATCTCCAGAAGAGGAAGCGGATGTTAATGAATGCCTTTTGTATAAACACACATATTTCTCAGGTTTTAGTCCCCGACCACCATCTCCACCGAGCAGGGCATGTTGGCAAATCAGTTACACAGCTGGTAGACTGTGGGATCCTGGCATATGCTTCACTGTGTAGACAGATACACTCACAGGAAAATGTGTCACAAGTAACTTAAAATAAGACAGAGAATATGGATATGCATCATACTTTTGCAAGTAGCAAATTAAGTACCAAGAAAGCAACATTTATTTCAAGATAATTGATAATCTATGGAACGAGATTGTTGCTCTCTCTATCTCTTAAACACACTGAGCACAATACACAGGGCTTGCTGATGGCAGCCACATGAGGAGATAAGACATCACTGACGGGCTTTAAAGTGGACAAAAACGACATTGCCTTACATCTCTCTGTCTCATTTCCATAGGCTGACATTCAGCCAACTCTGGATGAGAGGCCTGAGACAGTTCCAGCAAAAAATGATCCAGTAAATCAAACACATAAAGATTTGTGTCATCATCATGCAAATGAATATTGCATATAACTCAGGGAGCTTTTAATGGTGTCAGAGTATTCCATACAATGTTTAAAGATGCCTACATTTGCAGTTTTAATAATTAGACTGTATTGTGATTTCTTTAGTTTCCCTTGTTTCAACTTTGCCGGAAGCCCATGTTTGGCCATCACCGGTAGAGCTTTGCTTCTCCCATGCAATCATTAAAGGGATTAGGTATTAAGCCCTTTCTTTTATTCATCCCACTGACGGCCAAGTAATACAACGCATATAAAATACATATAAAATTGAACAAGGAACAATTAAGTGCAAGAATTCCAAATATCTAAATTATGCGATAGCCTTGAGATGTACAGTATCTGCCAGTTCCTTCTCAGGTTGACGTCCGTCCTCAAATGGGGTCAAGCTAAACATTGTAGTGTCATGTTGCATATATTGTCCATCCTGAGTGGTCTTCCTGAACTTTAAACGGACACACACACACACATGCCAGCAAGAAAAAAAAAATGAGAACAAGAAGAAGATGCACGATTAAATTTGATAACAATTATTATTGAAACCTCAAACCTGTATTCAATTCAGTTCAGATCTCCGTCTACAATACATCACCAAATGCCATATATAAAGACAGTGTGCCAACATTGGTCTGGGGGTGACCGTGGCTCACTGGCTTAAGAGGGTTGTCTGGTAACCGCAAGGTCAACGGTTCGATCCTTGACTGTGTGTCGAAGTGTCCCTGAGCAAGACATTGAACCCCCGGCTCCCCAGGCGCCTATCATTGGCATCCCACTGCTCCCTATATACAGGGATGGGTCAAATTTTGTGTATATGTATATGACAATAAAAAGGTATTCTATTTCTATTCTATTCTATTATGACAATGCTAACACGTTGATGTTTGGCATGTATGTTGTTTACCAAGTTCAAAGTCTTAGTTTAGTATCATCTGGGGACCATGAATATCTGTACCAAATTTCATGGTAGTCCATAGTTGTTAGTCAGTCTGGATCAAAGAATTGCATTGACCGACAAGGTCGGCATCGGCATCCATAGAGCCACATCGCGACAGTGGCTATAAAGAGTCACTTTAGGGTAGGGACTGTGGCTAAGTGGAGAACAGGGCCGTCCTTCGGTGGTTCGATCCCCAGCACCCCTAAAAAATTGCTCCCGTGGCTGTGCCTACGGTGCATAGAAATGTGATAGAATCTGAATTGTAAGTCATTTTGGATAAAATTACTGTAATGTGGATAAATAATTAGAAACATTGTGGGTACATGTAATAGACTGGATATTGGATATATTCAGCAGCATATTGAACAAAGGTCTTTGAAAATAATTTAAACATAGACAAGATTGCTTGCGAAAAAAGGTGTGTTTCATCACAATAAATAATTAAATGATGTCTCAGTCACAGATGAACACGTTATGTAATATTTAGCAATAAGTACCGCAAGATAGTCAAGGTAGAAATTGCTTCCTTGATGATACATTTTCCAGTGATATGGTTGGAAGTGCCCTGACATTTAAATGCACATTTTCTGCTAGCATTTCAACACAGACTCTTATTCATTGCTAATCATTGACACAATTCATCAGTCATATTATTGTTGGAAGAATCTCCACTTCACCCATTAACTAAAAAGGACATCCTTTTCAGTTAAGCAATCCAAAGAGGAGGGCGCTAAAAGCTTTAAAAGAGATCCAGAAACTCATTTTCCGACAAAAAAACCATCCACACATCATCACATATTGAGAGTGTGATACTTGGTAGTGAGTAAAATCCCTGTCAGTCTGTTTCACTGAGCTACATCTATCTTTGCTGTGGTCAAGATGTTTGTGGATGAGCGGATCGTGACTCTATTCAAAAGGAATGCCCATCACACACTGACCTATTGGAGTGTTTTCTTCAGCTTTGGACTCTGCATTGCTTTCCTTGGACCCACAATTTTGGACTTGCAATGTCAAACACACTCCACACTTAGTCAAATTACCTGGGTATTCTTTGCCCAGCAGTTCTGCTTGTTGATTGGCAGCTCTATTGGTGGTATTTTCAAGAGGACGTGAGTATCCCTCCCCCAGACTCTGCTTTGCAGGTGTTCGGTGTGCACGAATAATCTGGAAACAATTCACTGCCATTATAACCTTGATGTCTCTTCTCTTGTTTAAAGGTTGTTCAGCGCTCTAGCTGCCTTATTTGTCTCTGCTCTCACCATCTCTGTAATATTTGCCATCATCCCTTTGTGCAATAATGTTCTCCTGCTTGCCATCGCCATGGCCGTGTCTGGGTTTGCGATGGGCATTATTGACACCATCGCTAACATCCAACTGGTGACCATCTACCAGAGGGATTCGGCAGTTTTCTTACAGGTGAATAAGTAGTAGTACCTGTACCTCACCTGTAGGAATCTGACATGATAGCATTTGCATTTGGTGAATAATTAATAGAACTTTTATGAGCCAATTGTATAATAAAAAACACAGTAAGTCACATTTCTGGCTTTTGTCTTCTACATTTTCACAGGCTCTTCATTTCTTCATTGGGTTCGGAGCCCTAGTGAGCCCACTGATTGCAGATCCTTTCCTCTCCGAGACGGGCTGTGGGAATCACACAGGGAATGAGACTGAGATCGTGCTTCATCACAGGAACCTGCTGAGAAACAGTCCGATTGCAGCGCACAACATAAATGAGAGCTCCCTGCCTCACGAGGGAGGGGAGTCGAATGTGCACTATGCTTTCTGGATCATGGCGCTGATCAATGTGAGACGTTGGACAGATTTACAGTAGTAGATTTGCAAGAGAAGAAATACTCTTTTTTCTTAATCTGATATTTTTAGTTAATGGTTAGTTAATGGCAAAAAATATTCATTATGCACCCTCAGCTGCCCGTGCCCCTTGCAGTCCTGTTCCTGATGTATCGGGAGCAACTTATCCCATGTTGCCCCGGCACGCCTCGTCTTCTGGACAAAGATGAACTAGCAATGGAGAACCAGCAGGGGGCCGAGGGCTCAGAAGTGGAGCAGAAGGAACATGCAGCTGGAGGTAAAGACATGGAAGAAGTGCTTTATACACAGGACTCGTATTTTAGGATGAGTCATACATTCTTCAGCGGATTTTCAGTCGGCTTAGACTGGAAAAAAAAAATCACAATAAATGCCATTTTGTGTGTTACAATCTGTGTGACCCTTGCGCTCTGTTACAGGTCATGGGAATATCTTTAGCTGCTGTCAGAATGATAACCTGCGCGGGCTGCCAGTATCCTTCTTTATGATTCATATCCTCGGTGGGATGGTGCTCTTCATGACCGATGGCATTGTGGTGAGTGAGGGGTGCACATAAACGTCAGAAAGCATAGCAGATGACAGAATCTGCCTTTTCTTTCCAGGGTGCATATGCCGGCTTTGTCTACACTTACGGTGTGAGACCACCTATGTCATTGCCAAATAAGACAGCTGGTTACCTGGCCAGTATCTTTTGGGCAGCGATCACTGCCGGCCGTCTTTTGTCCATTCCGCTTTCGTACCGTTTCCAGCCTGTGAGACTGCTCATGTTCAACCTGGTAAGGCCTAGAAAACATCCAGAGTGCCGTTGTAGATGGGACATGCGCAAAGAAACTTAAAGGTCAAACACCTAACTGATATTTCTCGCTCTTCTTTTTAGGCAGGTGCCATTGTTACTGTCTTGATGCTGCTTATTTTCTACACGAGCACCACCTTTCTTTTTGTCGGGACCTTTTTATGTGGACTTTTCCTCAGTAGCATATTCCCCTGTATGCTCGCCTATACTGAAGACATCCTTGAGTATCAGGGTATAATGATGTGTTTACAGCACAATAATTACAACACAAATATGGAATCAAAGCAAGGAGAGGAAATAAAACGTGCATTCCTTTTTTTGCAGGATGTGCAACGTCAGTGCTGGTGACAAGTGCAGGGATGGGAGAGATGGTAATGCAGGTTCTGGTTGGCTCAGTAAGTCTGATGAGTATCTCCATTATTGTAGAAAAATAGTGTGCGCAGTTGAGAAATAGGTTTATAATTGCAAAAACAAGCCCAGCAGAGATTTTGGATTTGTGCTGAGCAGTTTCTTGTCTCTGTCTCATCCCCAGATTATCCAGACGAAAGGCAGCTACAGCTTCCTGCTGTGCGGAATGATAATCGCCTGCTTTGGTTTTATCTTCTTCATTGGTCTCCTGCTGTTCCATCGAATGCACAGAAATTACCTCACAGGTGCAGTATTAGCCAAGCGCCCTCACACACTGCTGTCTTTGGTTTGTTTTTCATTCATTTCACACTCATCAATCCCCACTCATACTCCCTCTGCATCCCAACAGGAACGACGAAAAAGTCAGCCATGGTGGAGGATCCAGCAGCAGAGCAGAATGGATCGACCCAAACAGAGCAGAAAGCTGAGCCAGAGAGCAGCTGAGAGGGGAAGCAGCTGTGTTTTGTCCTTTAGTGGCTACTGTAGGAGATGAAGTATTACAACAATTTATCTTCAAGGATGTTTTACCAAAGCCGACCAAAAATAAAACTGTGTTATTGTTATTGTGCTGGAAATGACACATGTTTGCCAAGTAGATGGTGTGCTACTGTTAGAGGTTATAGTTCAAACTCTTTCATTTTTATTCTGTCAATCTAAGACAGTGTTTATCAAATTGTGGATTGTTGTGTTTTGTATTTCATCCGGGTTTGAAATCTTCAATACAAGGATTGTGATTATCTGTAGCATACTTTTAAATACTTTTTTTCAGTTTCAATTGTTTTCTGTTTGTCGTTTTAATTGTAATCTTTTGTTTTCATATTGTTGTGTGTTTGCATATCTTTTGGCATATGTACATGGATTACTATATAACATGTGTATTAAACAATTATACTGATATGGTGAACATAGTGTGGGTTTGACCGATACAGAGACAGTTCTGACACCGCATTTTATAAGTAACAACAAAGAAAACACACATGCAATGATTCAAATGTTTATTTTCTTTGCTTTCAGAATGAAATAGTCAAGAGGACAGCCTCAGGTTTTACACTGTTAAACATCCAATGCAGAGGGAAGGACTTTGTACTTAAAGAAATTGGCCTCTGAGAATGAAGAACAAATGTAAAAAAGAGTCATCCGGCCTTTGAACAGTTAAGTCAATCTATAACTTCAGCTATAGGCCCAGTTGCAACAAGAACAGGAGGTGTCAAAGACCAGACCAGCAGCACAGTTCGCAAAGTAGGTCTTGCCGTTGCTGCAGTTGTAGAATTGGTTCTTGTTTGTTGGGTCGGGGTACATGCCACTGCTCTTTCCAGCGCAGAACCCGCTGTTCATGCCGCTGGTGCCCGAGTTCCCACTAGAGGAGCTACCGCCACTGGAGCCGCCGCTGGAGCCGCCGCTGGAGCCTCCTCCAGAGCTGCCTCCGGTTGTCCCGCTCACTCCTGCAATTGGAGGAAGGGGAGTGGCAGGAGGGGCGCAGGCTGAAGAACACAACAAATCAATGATTTAATATAATACATATTTCTCATCGTGTTATACATTGATCACCAATGACAAAAGTATTACATTTCTTACATGCTTGTTCCAGATTAAGGCCCTTTTTGAGAACATTAATCAGTGGGTATTTTCCCTGGTTACAGAAAGTGCCCATGTAGTCGTCCATGTCAAGGGTCCACACCATGGCGCCTCCAAAGTTACTCTTTTTCACCCAGTCAACCTACAGACAGCCAGAGCGGGGCATTGTAAAAAAGCATTTTGTTACTTGTGGTAACTGCAGCAGGACCCGACATACAGAAAACAGGGGATCAAATAGTCGTATTTTAACACATTTGCTCCTGTCACATTATGCAGTGGCACAGAGGGAAAACTTTCACATTTTATATTATTTAATCTCAACAGTTTATGCAGAGTGGGGAACATTTTTAGCTCAGAGCTAATTAACTGCAGCAAACAGATTGGCCTGTCAAACAGTAGAACAAGTATTCTGTGCAGCTCTGTTACCTTGATCTGGAAGCTCTTCATGTTGTCATAGCCCACCCACTGGTTTCCCTTATAGGCATATGGCACTTCCTGGGCCTGGTTCCAAACCTCAGTAGCTCCATCTTTCAAAAAGCCGCAGATCTGTAATTTCACAAAGCAGTGCATTAATGACAGCCTCGAGTGTTTAACACTGTGAAAAACCAACCTGCTCTGTCATCAAGAATTACAGAAGAATATTAACTAACACTGAACCGCCATCAACATTCAAGCTTATTCTCTATGACTTTAATGCAATAATAAGAAAGCGCACCTCAAAGTAAGCGAGCTCTCCAGCCTCTTGTGTGTATTTTCCAGGAGTTCCAGCATGGGCAATGGAGGCTCCAACACCATGGTTAGCAGAGTTCCTAAGAGTGAATGTGTTGCCATATGTAGGGAAACCAACAATCAGCTTCCTGGCTCTTCTAGTAGTTCATGGCATAGTCCTGGGACAAAGAAAAGGGAAATATACGTGGCTCTGGAACTGGAAAAATGTATATTTGCAGATAAAGCTCGCAGGTGTATTCTTTCTTTACACAAGCCCAGTTTTGGTGAATTTAGTTGTGAGGATGTTCAAGTACTCACCACATTGAAATAGATGAAACCACCCTGGTCCTCTCCGCCTTTAATTAAACAGGGGACTGCACTCGCCAGTCATGGGGTCCCAGGAGCCATGGAAGTCGTATGTCATGACGTTGATCATGTCCAGGGCCCTGGGTGTGGACAACACAGAGGCGACATTTAACAAGGTTACATTGATGATTTCAATTAAAAAGGTTGAGAATTAGAGTTGTTCTGTTCCACTGTGACTCATTAATGTTGCTGTGGATCAGATTGGACACAGCACAAATATTGCTTTAAGTGCTTACTGGCCAAGCTTGGGAATCTGATAAGTATAATCAATGTTGCTCTTTCCAGCCGCCACAGCAGCAGACAACAGAAGTCGAGCCTTGTTGCTCTGCTTGGCCTCACTCTCAAAGGCGGCTCTCATCTCCTGTTGAATGTCAACAGATATAAAATATTTAGTATTAACTGAACTCCACAATTCAGAATCCGTGATTTGTAAAATGGTCAGGTTGTCCGTTTGTTGCTTTTATGTATATTTTATTCAGTGGCGCAGTGGAAGCCCCACAGGGATTTATCCTGGCCCAAAACATTTGAGACAAGCTTGAGCAGTTAGATTTGCTATCAGGTATGGAATTATTCAAATTGAATTGGGTGAAAAAATAAACCTGAAACTGAGCAATTAACCAACCTCCAGGAAAACAGAGTAGTACTGCTTCTCCTGAGGGGATCCTCCTCTGTTGGCTGGATACTCCCAGTCAACGTCAAGCCCATCAAACTCATACTTCCTCAGGAATGAAATGACTGAGGTGATGAAAGTTTGACGGTTGGTAGGGCTCAAAACCATTTGTGAAAATCTAATGTGGGAACAGAAATAAATGTATTAAATCAGAAGATTTCCACCATTTAGAGAGCTGATATCTGCCGATATCTGTAGATCATCTCACCCTGTAGAGCCAAAGTTCCATCCTCCGACAGAGAGAAGAGTCTTCAGGTTGCCATTCCTGCCAAAGGAATCAGACATTTTACAATGCAACGACAACTAAAAACACACCTTCTTTCCTAACTGTGCGTTATTAGTGAAACTGAATTGTTTTTTTTCCCTTTTATACAAGAGGAGACAGTAACTCACTTGTTCTTCAGGGCGTTGAACTGACTGTAAAGCTCCACATCATTCCACTCATAGGTGGCCAGTTGGTTGCTCTTTATGGTGGCGAAGGCATACAGAAGATGGGTACACAGGCATGGGTTGATGTCATTGGGCATAAATATGGTTGGAGGTGGTCTGTACTGTGCCCAGTTTGTGAAGTAGCATGACAGTATGAAAGATGAGCCTTTGGTTCAAAAGAAGTTTATTATTAACGACCAAACACCTACGGTAGCGCAATTTATGACCGAAAAAAAAAGGAAATTAAACATGCACACTGTATCCCATATTCATAGACGGCTTACCAAGCTGCAGCAGGGCCAGAGCTGTATGATTATAAGTCACATGTTATCTTTCAGTAAAAAGACATTTCATAATAGTGCTCAAAATTTCCCTCTCCAGATGGCTGCAATATACTGTTTGTACAAATCCTGGAACTAGCAATTACAAGGAGACCATGTGCACATAATGCAGCACTGACTTACCCGTCACAAACAGCACTTTGCCCATGACTACCTTGTACAAGGAGGTCATCTAACAGGTGTACTCACTTTTATACAGTCCAAGTTTGCTCAAATGTAACCAAATTGGGACATCTGCGTTGCTCACGTTGGGACAAACGTGCTCACTTAGGGAGTAATATGTGATTACTTATCACACTTTCAGGCATGGTCTCCACAGGCCCACTTTCTCCTTGTGTGGACTCATTTATCCAAAACAAGCATAATCCAAAAAAGCAAATACAATGCAGAAAATAAGGTTCCGGCTTGATCTAAACGTTGCACAAACACCAAAAGAACATTGAAGAATTTGTCACAAATGTTTGGTTGGGATGTAGATAATTACATTTCACCAATTATGCCTGACTTGACAATACATATTCGTATCTCATATCAGAGAGAAAAACATGTAAATGTTTTCAAGGGATAATCTATGCATGCACAGCTAAACAAGAGGAAAGACAGATGTTTATTAATTTGACTACAGTGCTTGAATATATGATATCTTATCAAATATGCCTTTCATGTCACGCAGTAAATTCCCCGTCTCCGTTCAGCGGTGACATAAAGCATTAGAAGTCAACTCGCTTAAGCACCAGGGCAAAATTGCCTTTGTAAAACTACTTAGACTGCAGATATGTGATGATAAATATGTTTGACAACTCTAATCACGCTGAAAAGAGGATCGTGATATGTCATGAACAGGGATTTGCATTATAATCAAAAGCATTCACATAGAAAATGGAGAACTTATCTAATCATTTCAATTCCATTATAATGCAGCCTTCTTTATCTTTAACAGTTTATGTAATACTTAAAAAAGATATGCTGGTGTCAGCGGAAAAACACCTTGGCTGAGCCGAAGCTTAGAGACAGAAGTAATGCCATTTGCTTTTCCAAAACAAACATGGCGTGTCAAAAATAAAAAAGGCGTCGAAACAAATGTTGTGGGGACTGAAAGTGGTTCATTTACCGACTGATTTTCTCACTTAAAGTGAAAAACAATCCAATTTAAGTTTTAACCAAGGTCACTTCATCATCTTAGGAAAGTTTAGCGCTTAAGATGTTTTCCCCGAAGTGCAAATCAAAGGCTAATCTGTCACATATCATGACATATCATAGCAGCCTGAAAATTCACAAACTTAAAATGAGTTTAAGAATAAGTAGTGGAGGTTATTTGTTTCAGATAAAACTATCCTATGCATATAGGTTTTTTAATAGGTTTAATAAAATGAAGTTATTAGGGAAGTTTTCAAAAACGGATTTGTGCCTGTGGGTGTCGTAACCTTCACAGTTACTCAGCACCAGCGCATGCGTCACATTCATAGTTCTGTTTTCCAATGCGGCTTGACCTTTAAGAACACATTAAAGTCATTCCAGCTTTTCCAAAACTCAGAGAATCTATTTATCTTTGTTGCTATACATTTGTAAGTATGTAGTGTAATATATAGACTGTAAATTTTACAGACTGTAATAAAACGTAATAAAATATGCAGCATGAAGTTCAGTATACTCTTGTTTGGAAAAGACGTGTCAGGCTACCTTAATGTGAACTGTGTTGTGCCTCTGCTCTCGGACAAACTCAGTTCAGAGTACACAATGATAATATACATATAGTAAGATTTGGTATATAAATATTTTCCTTACAATTGCTACATCTACATGTATATATGTATCAATTTTGACTGAAACCATTTAAAGTCTGCGTTGGTTGTTCTTATAAACACTGTAACAGTGCAATGTTAGCTGTCACTGAGAGAGATGATGTGACACAAATCAAAGTATAACATGAACTGTAGCAAAACTAAACATAGGACGGGACTGCACCTCAGAGAACAACAAAGTCAAACGCTGTGGATGTGATATGCACATGAAATATCAAAGCTTCTTCTTTCTTCCTAAAATACACAAAAGAAAAATAAAGAGGATGATAGAGGGTGTACTAAACATAATACCTCCTCTAATGGTCTTTAGTGCCACCTACTGTTTAAGTAAACAAACTGGCCTTGCAGTTCCCATGCACCTTAAAGTACCCACACAGATGGACAAGATACACAAGAGAAAGATGTATGGGCTGTGGGATCTCAACACAACAATAACCATGCAAACACAAGCTTAATCAAATCACATGAATCACATCATTGCCCAAATCTTACAACATAGGAAACATAAGAGGAAGCTAGCCAATGTTGCACACTTTGCTTCTGCTTCCCATTGTTCTTTGCATTTTCACCATGAAGACCTCAGGGGTATCTCTTGGCCTCTTCAACGGTAAGAGCAGCTTTTTTAAAAATACTGTCGCTGTGTAATGCTCGAGAAACTTGAAAAGACCGATTCACCTGTGTTTTTTTTTTGTATTATCCAGCTCCAGTTCTCTGTCTCCTCTGGCTAACAAAGCATGCTGTGGACTCAGTCCAGTTGTCGGCTCCAGAGGTGGTGACAGGAACATACGGAGGATCTGTGACAGTCTCTTGTCAGTACGACAGTCAGTTCAGAGACTACACAAAGTACTGGTGCAAAGGATCGATATATGAGCTGTGTGACATAGTGGTGAAAACACCCAGGGGGCGACAAAAAGGCACAAGCTCCATTGCAGATGATAAGGAGGCAGGAGTCTTCACTGTCACTATCACTTCTCTCGGAGCGAGTGATGATGATATGTACTGGTGTGTCATCGCCAGACAGGGAAGGAACATCTTCAGCGGTGTCAAGCTCAGCGTCTCCAACACAGGTATACTAATAGCTTCATAATGTTTTACTGACCCAGAAAGACAAAAACTCAGAAACTGACTCACACTTGTAGGCGACTAAAGTTGACTAAAATCTAAAAGTCATTTTCCTTGAAATTGTGTTTTTTGTTGTTGCTAATGTCTGTCCTCAAATTGTGTTCTTTTCATGTGTTGTGAAGTCAAAGACAATTTTGACTTCCACATTATGGACAAAAAATGTCTGTTGCAACTAACCAACAAAAGGGAAACTGCATTTTTCACTCTAAGAAAACTAAAATATGAATTATTACGCCCATTATATCTTTTTGCAGGCTGTAAAACCATTTGAAACAGTATCTAGATCATATTTTCCAATAACAAACTAAAATTCTTATTACAGCAGTCTTGCTGTCCCTCAATGGGACAGAAGGTCTGGGACCTACATCATTTACAAAAAACACAAAAACATTTTATAACAGTATTGAAATGTGCAAACAGTTTAATTTATTGTTCTCATGGTGATGTGGCTGGCCAACATATATATTCAGTCAAGGAATATTGGGCCCATATGATGGTTAAACATAGTTTGTCGTAGACAGGATTGATCAGTCAGTAAAAGTAGTTTGTTGACGTTTAATGCAAAGTATTTTTTTCCACAGTGATAACAACAACCACCACGACTATTCCGGAACAAGATGAAATAAGGTGAGAAGAATCTACGGAGACAATATACTGAACTTTCCAATAGTCATTCAGTGGAATGTTGATAAAAACATTAAGAGCAGTTGATAATCAATCAAATTAATAAAATATATGAGATGATGTGCCATGAGCAAAAGTAAAGTATTTTAAAACCTTATTTTGTTTGTGTGTTTGAACCAGTTGGTGGGCGACGCTGCGTTGGATCCTCTTTATTCTAATGTTGTGTTGTTTGGTATCAACACACATCGCTGAGTGGAGGATAACGACTGCAACAAAAATACGGCGGCATCAACAACTTCAATTTGAAACATCTGTGGTTGAAAGTTATAGGTGATATATTATATAATTTATACTGCAGGCTACAAAACTATTCCTCCAGTGGACATTCTATCAGTGGGTGAATTAAACTGAGAAATAAACCAAAGTCAAAAAGTGGCTTTCGGCTTCTTTTTTTCTTAGTATAAATGATTAAAACCTAAATTAATTCTGGTGCCAGGGCCTTGGATAACTTTGGTTCCAACTTTTGAATATCCAATCATCTTAAAATTGGCACCCCTGGAGAAGTGAGGCTTTTGGCTTTCATTTAACATATTTTCAGGTCTTATATGGACAATAGAGGTTGATAATTTAACCACCAAAATCAGTCAGTGGTTTAGTGCTCCAAAGATCTGAAACGTTGCAGAAACGCAAAAATGAAGGCAAGGTAATTTATTTATACTTGTAAAAAATCCATGGGAGGAATCTGTGAAGTCTGAAAAGGATTTGATCTGTAAAATGTGCTGCATGGATGTTTACGCTGTAAAAACAAGGAAAAGACACCAAAAGCCACAATGCAGAGATGTGTGGTGTGCGGACATCTGCCCAAACTGCTGGCTGCTGCTCTTGCTTAAAGGGGTTTACCGGGCCCAGGTGTGTCCCATGTCACTGATTACCCTCCAATAGCTCTGCAGCCACCAACGAACGGAGGAGGGACCGTCACAAATCAAAGCTAAATTATATTAAAATCCCCCAGAAAATGTGACTTATTCTCTCAAAGAGGCACTGGTGATTTGTCAACCTTGTCAAGCAGATTTCATTACCCTGCCGGTTGTAGCGGCAAGGTATTGGATAATTGTGTCTGCTGGTCTGTGCTTTCAGAGAACAGCACATAGAGCCGCATATATTCACAGTTTTATTAGACAAACCTGTACAATCGAATGCAATAATCCTTATTTTTTGCAAAGCAATGTTCAGTTTATACCTGTCAAAGAGGTACTGAAGTATTTAGTCTCCGGCAGTGCGTTATTAGATTGCATTATATGTTGTTTTTGTTGTTCTGTCACCCTCATGCATGTAAATGAGGGGGGACAAAACATTAGAAAAACGCCTTTGAGGTCTTTTTCAGAGCAGACTTGTCATATAAAGCACAGTTGTTACTAATAACATTAACAACGACTCTCTCCTATTCATGTGCCCCAGTAAAGCAATCAGTGTGACAGTGAGCCAGCATGCAATAAAGGAATTCAGCCATCGGTCATTCTATTAGTTGCACCTGTGCTTTTTCTACTGTGACATGCACAACTGTCTTCCACAAAGAGGCCTATAGCAAAGTAGCTGTGCCCTTAAAACATATCACAGGATTGTGTCAACTTATAAACAATAAAAACAACAAAAGATCATTACAGTAATGCAGTATTCATTTCAGGGCTATTGTATTGTACATGTTTTCATATTTTTCTGTATTTAACAGCTCAGCTAAATACACACAATATAGTGCATGTATAAAAAAACATGTTTCGTACTCAAATTACTTAAATTGCAGCGTGTAGATTTAGTGTGGAAGAGGTGGAGCTCAAATTTAGAAGAGGGTGTGAGGGATTTAGGAGGTGATGTCACCACTTCTGCTGCAGGAACCACTGGCATGAACTCGTGTCAAGACAGCCACCATAACCAGAGAAAGTTAGCTTTCAAAATAAAAGCACAACGAAAACAAGTGCAGGCTTGTATGAATAAACGGTTAGGCCTGTCTTACATTTGTTAAACAAAATAATTTCAAAATTATATTTTTATTACACTTTATGCCCCTTATATAATAATAATTAGCATAAACATGTACACCTTCTAAAAGAGCAATTCACTTTTATGTCTTAAAGTTATTCAGACATTAGAATTGGGATGGGAAGGACTAACACTAATATATAATATATATCCAAAACTAATAAAACTAAATAAAATGAAATAAAAGCACACAACTAAAAGTCCTAAGTAAGGACAGAGGGAGTTGAATGTCGTAGCCAACGGTTTGTAAATCCCCTTGATTTAAATTTGGGATTTGGGATATTGGGTTATATAAATGCAATTGCCTTGACTCAAATATAAATATATGTAGTGGAGTAAAAAGTACTGTATTGGCATCCAATACGTCGCATAAAATGGAAATACTCAAGTAAAGTAGCCTACAATTAAGTTACCTCAAAATGGACAGCACAGGCACAGTTTTCTTTTAATTAATAAACATAAGTTAGTTACATTCCACCGCTGTGCCTACAATATATGAAAACTGCATATGGGGACGAAGTACCTCAAATAAAAAACTTTAGATTTGATTAAAAATATGTTATAATTTGTTAGTGTAGTTCCTGTCTTTCTAAAATAATACGTAGTCTAATATTTAGGTACGCATGCTAAATGTTTTATTTTGAAGGTGATAACCGGTATTATTCTCTCTACCTTGACAGTTGATGTCTGGATTTCACTTAGCTTCTCCCCGAGTGTAGCAAGTTGCCGCTGATCGCTGGTGCCAACGCCCGGCGAAATAGACAGCTAACGTCAGCTAGCGGAGGGACATTGGTACGTACGAAAACAATTATCTGACTGATGTTAGTATAGATAGGAGTTCGGATATATGTTTTCATGCTTCGTCTTGTTAGCTGGGACTGAGATACAGCGAGTGAACTAGCGTTACTTTGCAAGCTAACATTAGCTAAGCTAGCTAACTAGCTAGCATTGTCTAGTGATTGCTAGCACTGCGTTAGCTTAGCTTGCTAACCGATAACAAATACATTTTCACCGTCACTACGCGTTCAATAAGCTGGGTAGTGTGATATTGTGTGATTTATATATTGCCTAATTTAAAAATACTAGTTAGCTCGATAATAAAGTGTTGATGCAAGTGAGTTAACGTTGTCAATAGCTAACGTTAGCCTCCAGACAGTTCTGGTGATGGGGTGTGACATTTATCCAGCGTTAGCTAATGCTAGCTTACGAAGCCTTTTTTCCCTTAGACCCCCTTGCTTAATCAAAGCTGTCGTTGGGGCAGACACCGAGATAAACGTAATGAGTTCAGAGCCAATGTTACAACAACAATCCAAACACATTAAATGTCCTAACGAGTTATCACCTCTCCCAACAGCTAACTGCATTCCCAGCAGAATCAAAAAAAAGTACAGAGATGCAGACTATCAAATGTGTGGTGGTGGGTGATGGAGCGGTGGGAAAAACCTGCCTACTGATCTCATACACCACGAACAAATTCCCCTCTGAATATGTACCTACAGTAAGTGAGTTTGGTGTGTTTCAGAGTCCGATGCATGCTGACAGGTTCAGAAAGTAAAGTAAAAGCTACCCTTGAACGAAACATAAACATTCCATTCACTCTTGTATCACAGGTTTTTGACAACTATGCAGTAACTGTAATGATTGGGGGTGAACCGTACACCCTTGGCTTATTTGATACAGCAGGTAAGATTATGTTTACTCCTTTTTTAATTATATTCCTAATGGAGTTAAGTACATCTGCTTGTCTGACACATGATAAGCTAATTTGTAGTGTTGTCTCTTTACAGGACAGGAGGATTATGACAGGTTACGACCACTAAGCTACCCACAGACAGATGTCTTCTTAGTGTGTTTCTCAAGTGTTTCACCTTCCTCGTTTGAGAATGTTAAAGAAAAGGTGAGTACAAAGTGTTTATCAAGTGCAGTGAGATTGCTCACCCACAAATCTAATAACATCCTCTTTCCAAATATCTGAAATTAAACCGCTTGCACGGCATATTTCATACAATTAAACTCTAATCTATGTCTGTGTTGATCTACAAATCTAGAGTTTAGCTAATAGCATTTTCATGCATAACGTCCTACATGTAGCATCACTTGTAAATGAGTGTGTCTGCCTTTTTGGTGATGAGTTATCCCGTGTGTGTTTTATTTATTTTTTCCCTCCAGTGGGTTCCTGAAATAACTCACCACTGTCCCAAGACCCCGTTCCTGTTGGTAGGCACTCAGATCGACCTGCGCGATGACCCCTCTACCGTGGAGAAGCTCGCTAAGAACAAACAGAAGCCGATCACCCCTGAGACGGCAGAAAAGTTGGCTCGGGACCTTAAGGCAGTCAAATATGTCGAGTGCTCAGCCCTAACACAGGTAAGAGCTTCCAGTAAACAGCGCTTGAAGCCAGCATGGCAAGCATGTGCCTGACTGTCAGTTTCCTAGCCGGGGTGGACACGCGTTGCCTTTTGTCTTTTGCTAACAGCATTTGGCTAAAAAAAAAAAAAACAACAACCTTCATCTAACTCTGTGTTGTGTGCCTGTCTTTCTCCTTTCTTTTCCTCCTCCTGTAGCGGGGACTGAAGAACGTATTTGACGAGGCTATCCTAGCCGCTTTAGAGCCCCCTGAAACTCAGAGAAAGAGAAAATGCTGTTTGTTCTGATGTCTCCTTGCATCTAGCTTTGCCTCTCGATTGTCTGCTGCTTACTCATTGCAAAGAGATGTCTGTCACTAAAACAACCACAACGCTCTTTTAAACTTAAAAAAAAAACAACTTTGTGCCCATTAACTTTATTTCCCCCCTTTCTGTTCATGCGTGCTTTCTTTTCAACTTGGCCTAATCACAATTATGCTGCCTGATATAACAAGAGTGCCAACCTTTAGTTCTTCTTTCTGTTGTCTGTGAAACTGGACATGAATGCATTTGTTTGTTATTCAGCATCAGTTTTACCTCCAAAGCATTTCTGCCACAATCCGTCTTAGACAGTAGTAACCTTTTTTTTTTTTCTTCTTCTTCTTCTACTGCAGCATCATAAATTCCCCCATGAGCCTTTTCTTGTCTTTACTCGGACAACTTGATCATGAAGGAATCTTGTATAATGTTATTTGAATAAAGGAAACGTTTGATTGCCCTGCTCCCATTTCTACCCCAGCCTTCTTTTGCTATTAGTTCCCTGAAGATGCTAATATGTATTTGGAGCACAGCCCCTGTTTTGAATATTAATATTTTATCTCCACAGAAAGGATTAAAGAATGTGTTTGATGAGGCAATACTGGCTGCCCTGGAGCCTCCTGAACCTAAGAAAAGGCGTAAATGCGTTCTGCTCTAAGTTCCGTCGCAGCCTTCTCCACACCAGTTTCCAAATCTAGGTTAACAGTACTGAGGAGGTGTGTTGCACAAGCACATTCCAACATGAGTTAAGATATTGTGACATATTTGCCTTCTGACTGACTTAGCCTAACCTAAATACATATTCAATGTGTTGAACGTGGTTTTGAGATGGAGTGACTTGTGATGATTTGATGCCGTTGAAATGGTTTTACATGATGGGAACACTGAATACTTGTACACATCAACAAGCTGTTGGTGACATAATTAAATGCAGTTTCAGTTTGACCGCATTATGTTTAGAGTTCATTTTGCAGAAGTGTGATTCCAAAAGAAAACAATATGAAATGGTATTTTAATAGTTTTATTGTGGGCCCTGTAATACTCAAACAAGCTGAGTGTGTTGGGTTAGTGAGCGGCTCCAGTCATGTATTAGTGTGTGCTCCATCTATTCCTTACTCTTTAAGTAATTCCCTTGAAGTTTATCATGTGTACTATATGTTCAACCCTGTCGCACAAGACTGCATGTGGCTGACACGGCATTGTCACAGAAAAACAGACAAATTAATTTCTTAAAGTGTTAATAAAAGTTTCCGTAGTTTACTCTTTTTCTTTTTATATATACATAATTTCATGTTCAATGTCAGCCAACAGAGCCTCTGGGCGGATCTGAGAAATATTTGACACATGACACTTCTAGGCTAAACTCCCATCGTAGTTCTAGTTTGCCAAAAATATAACTTTATAAATTGACACTCGTCAGAAGCTGATAAAGACGTGGGAATGAAAAAAAAGTTGTCAATTCATCAAACTATATGCAAGGAGTTGGAGCACAACAGTTTCCCAGACATTTACTTTTTGTGACAAGTGAGTTAATGTGTGTTGAATGCGTATCGGAAGTTGTAGTAGATGAACGTTGGAGGATTCCAGACTAATGAACTGTTTTTTAAAGTGAACACCCTTCTTTCAAAAATGCTATACATAGTTTGAAACCCTGTGAAGAGTTTTGAGTGACTGAACTCGCACTGTTTGCATTTGTCTTTTACTAGAACCGTGCCTGTATTGTGACGGGCTTGAATTTGATTTGTACATACAGTGAGAATAACTCATAACTTATTGACTGAATACAATGTGTGCATTACAAATAAAGATTTGGAGGAAATGAAGCGACGCTGAACACAAAATAACCAGGAAAATGTTGAGAGAACGAGTTACTCTTTGGTTTTTATTCAATTTGACATCAAAGTTGTATTGTATCTTGCTTGTGATGAAGCGCCACGATAAACCAGTATTATGAATAAACCTAACTTCAAATACTAATGTCTGGTTACATGATTAAATGTTGTGACATTGTATACATTTTCCACATAATATAGTTTTCCAACAACTTTTTAGCATCATAACTTACGCATTTACAGGTTAGTGCAAAGATTAATAGAATGTCCATTAAGGCTGGTTTGTTTTAGTGCTGCAGTGTTCATATTCATACACAGAATCCCTTCTGATCTGAGAGATCGGCTTTTTATTTTGCCTTCATTCTGGCCTTATCGTGGATGTTTAAATAATGACGTCGCAGCACCCAGAGGTGCCTTCATAAAACTTCATGGTGTTATCGTCCTGAGACAGAGCCAGATGGTTCAGTCCAAGAGTCTGCTCAGCAAAGCTGCCTTCTTACTCTATCTGGCATCTTCTCCTCACGACTTCTACGACCAGTTGTACAAAAACACTGAACACAAAATGATTGAATTCTGACTCAAGCATTAAGTTTTCATTAAAAGTTAGGAATGTTGAATATGGAGGGGGATTTACCGTTTAATGCACCTGAAACTGATTGTGATGCGGCTGTTATGTCATGGACCATAACGACGTGTTGGTACTGAAACGACTAACCTCGATGCAAAGGTGTGTGTGTGTGTGTGTGTGTGTGTGTGTGTGTGTGTGTGTGTGTGAGGCTCTTTGGGAAAATTGGATCATTTTTTAACCTCAAAATTTGAAACCCGATGCCATGGACGGTATTTCAATGTTTATTTGAGTGATTTTATTATAATCTCAGATTTGCATGATCTAGAATAGTATTTTTTAACATGTTCAATTCGACAAAAATGTTTCAGTTGTGCTGTACAGAACTGCTTTAACTCATGAACCGCATATCATAAAAGCGTGCTATGCGACTCTAAATCTACATGTATGTCTTGTTACGGTGCGGCATTGGGAGTTTTACAAAAATGACATTTCATAAAGAAACTGATGCACATACAGTATTCATAGCTTCTTACAAGATGTTCCTTGAACATGTAAAATTACTGCAGATTACATAAGCAAAATAACAATTGGTGCAATTTCCCAAAATAAGGTGCAATTTAGAATTTCTTGATGCAGAGGCGGGAAGCAGGCAGTCGCTGAATGACTAAGCTCTATGTGTCCATTGCTGGACTTATCTCCACGCAGCTGTCGGTGATACGAATTCCATACCACCCCGCCCAGAACTGGGTGTCCTTGCCTCCGTGGGTGAAACGGATGAACCGCACTCCTGTTCCGTAGTTCTGGAATACATGGGTCATCTGAAAAATACATCTCGGTAAGTCTGGAATTGTCCTCGAGTACCTCAACTTCATCTCGTCAATTAATGCCTCACGCTTTGTACTCACCTGAGTCCATTGATGATCGTTCCACTGCTCGAAGTAAACCGTCTCAGGAGCAAACGTCTGGACAGGCTTCTTTCTTTGATTCAGCAACTCTACGCAGATCTGATATTCACTGCCACAATCCCATCGTGGGGCATACCTAATACAACGAAAGCATGCGCACATAGATCAGGGGTCCGCAGCCTCAGTGGAAACACATTCCTGTATGTTTTTGATAGGTTTTGTTTATTGCTTTTAATTATTTTTAATAGTTACAGTTAAAGCATCTTTTGTTAATCCTCGTTTGGCAAAAACGACTCACAGGCAAACGTATGTTCTGTGTTGCACTATGAGACTCGGAACTTTAAAATCACATACTGTCTCATTGTCACACACATGGCAAACTATTGCCTCCTTCATTTATAGATAAATGGAGGTTCTGTTGTCGACACAAATCAGTATGTTGAAATAGTCTACGCTATATTATTTATCTGTGTTATTTTTCTCGTTGTACATGTAGCAGACTTCATTCCAGCACCATAAGCTGTTCAAATAGCCTGCCTCTCTTCATGTGGGGGGGGCTGTATTATATGCAATGAGCCTTTACACGAGCCTCGCAACTACAACGTTACGTGGATGTATGAAAAGCATGTCAAAGTTTTAACGTAATCGAACAAAGAGGAAGACTTGAAGAACTGACTTAATTGGGTTCGTGACCGATCATCAGGATTTAGAGCTGCGAGAGTTCTTCATGTGTGTCCTTCTCACCAATCAGATACTTTGATGTCTGGCTGGAAGTGATCCATAAACAATGGGTTGTAACCTTCCACCGCCAAATCAATCAGCTGCGACTTCTTGCACATCCTGCAGACAACAGAGAGGATTTTAGCTGCAACACAACCGGAATGTTGCACAGCGCATAACTGCCATTTGCTTTCTGGGGCCACTGCTGGTGAATACTGACCCGTAAGAGGTCACGAAGTTTTGCTGGACGGTCTCATTCGGATGTGGCACCATGACTCCCTCCACTTTCCAGTTATCGCCACCATTCTCCAGTATCTGCCAGTTCTTCATTTTCTCTATGAAAACAAAGAGGAGGGTTGTGAGATCAATTATTTCTGAAGAGCTAATTTGTTATTGAGCAGGAAAAGAACAGAAGCAGAGTAAAATGAGTTCTGCGGCTTCTTACGATCTCCTTTTGGATTCTTGAGAAGATTTCTTCTCTTCTTGCACAAGAAGTAAAACAACCTCCAGTCTTTGGGAATTGTGGAAGCATCGCGGAGGCGGTATCCCTCTCGTCGACATCTCTCTCGCCACAGAGACTCGCTGTCGGCCACTTCCCCCCACTGATGGCACACCAGCCGACAAACACAAACCACCTGATGGGGAGGTAGATTCTGGAAGATCTCCTCCAGGATCTCCAGAGGAACGGAGAACAACTGGAAAGAATAGAGAGGACACAGATAAACTTAAACTCTGGAGCGTCGGTTTACTTTTCAAGCTCTGACTTTGGACCAAGTGACCGC